CTTTGACCTTGAGGTGTGTACACCTGTGGACGCTGATGCGTCGGATGCTAAGAGAATCATGAGTAGCGATGAAAATATCGTGTAACGGTGATAGCGAACAGCTATATACACTCGTCAATGGTTTGACTGGGGATATTGAAGAGCCGGTGGCTTTTTCAGCAATATCCGCAGTAAGTGCTCTGTTAGAGCTGGACTAGTTGTCATTTGCCGAGTTTGGCAGTGCCTTACAGGCAGGCGACATCGCCAAAGTGGTCGTTATACGACCTGAGGAGAGTTAAACTCCTCATCGCTTTTGGATAAAGCAGTTTTTGAGGATACCAAGAAGGCGCTGAATGCGCGTAGTGGATCACAGATCCTGGCGGACCTATCGGATCCTTATTTTTGTTGTTGAGGGAATATGGAGATGTTATTTCCAGAGAACCTCCGACGAGGTTACCTCCAAATAGAGGTTTACGTCATGAGATTGACTTGGTTCCAGGAACCAAATACTGTGTGACGCGACAGTGCCCGCTGCCACGAGAAAAATGTGCCGTCATTGACGAGTTCTTTTGTGCAAAGCACGCGGCTGGCATGGTGAGTGAGAGTAAGTCTCCTCACTCTACGCCCACATTTTGTGTGAAAAAGCCAATGGGAAGTGGCGAATAGTGCCTGCTTACAGTTAGCTGAATGCAGCCACTATCCCGGCTCAAACACCGATTTCTCGCAAGGATTTCTCCAGAACAATATGGTGGGATGTACGATGTACAGTGCCCTCGACTTAGTCGATGGATATTGCTAACTGCTGATGCGAGCTAGTGATATCCCGCTGACAGCGGTCAGCACTCCGAGCGGTATGCTTTGGGAGTGGTTAGTGATGCCTCAAGGGCTGTCTAACGCACCTGCAACATTCAATCGTCTAATGACGCAGTTGTTTCGGCTCCATAGATAGAGAGTATGCACAGACATACTTTGACGATATATTCGTCCATAATCAAGCCGAAAATGGCAAGATCGATGTGGAGAATCACATCGAGCACCTGCAAGCTGTGCTCAGTTGCATGAGGATGCATACGTTATATGCCAATATTGACAAATGCATCTTCGGTGCGGAAAAGATTCTCGTTTTGGGATGCTTCATTGGGAAGCGAGGAATCCGGGCAGACCCTGTTAAGGTGAAAACCTTAGTGGATTGGCCAGTTCCGAGGAACCAAAAGGACCTCCGAAAGTGGTTGGGATTCACAAATTACTTTCATAAGTATAGCCGCAACTATGCGGAAGCGACTGTCCATTGTCGAATCTCCTTAAAAAGAATGTGGAATGGTGTTGGAACACCGAACACCGCGAGGCTTTTGAAGCCATTAATGAGAGTCTCCTTCAGGCGCCAATTCTAGCTTTGCCTGATCGTCCGTTTAGCATCGTGGGTGACGCTTCAGACTTTGCTATTGGCAGTGCTCTCTTACAAGTCGACTCTGAGGGTCGCGAACGCGTCATCGCGTTTGAGTCTCGCCAGCTGAAAGCTGCAGAGAAGAACGATCCAGTTTATGACAAGGAGCTACTTGCGATGAAGTATGCCCTTGTTAAGTTCAGGGTACACCGGTTGGGCTCCAAGCCGTTTGCAATCTATACCGATCATGCGTCGTTACGCACAGCGACACAGTCGCCTCATCGCTCGCAGAGAATGGCTCGTTGACTCTCCTTTTTCGCGGAGTATAACTTCAAGGTGAAGTATAAGCCGAGAAAACAGAATGGTTTGGCTGAAGCGTTATCGCTAGACCTCACTATGAGCTTGCTCATCTCACTGTTGTGAGTTCGTCAGTCACAGATCGTATCCGTGTAGCGTATGAACGCGATGAGGCATGTGTTGCCATTTTGCAGGCGCTGGGTAGCGCAGAGTTTGAAAACTCTAAGGTGAAGTTTTCACCACGTAATCGTGCGAGATTACATCGCTATGCACTGAACGGTAGTCTGTTGACGCGGACAGACGCGATCATCGCGCTAGTGATCCTCCTAGGAGAGGCAGGCATGGTCGCGGGGAGGTTCAAGCCAGATCACTTGTATTTCCTAGAATCAGAAAGTATTAAAACCACGTTAGAAATTCTTCAAAAACGTTTGAAGATCCTTGTTTTAATAGCCTCGGTACTGTTCGACTTACCTCCTGCGACTGTCGCGAAGGTACATTCCGAAGATATCCAGATCACGCTCCAAGCCATCGAGGTCCATACTTAAACGAAATGGTCGACCGAGGACCCATGGTCGATTCGAGGTCTACCCCAGACCACTCTGCCTCAAAGTTTTCAGGTTCCTGCGGGGCAGTATTCGCGAGGGTCGTCTGCTGATAGTCATGTGAGCAGGGTGCCACTTGGCCCGACTGGCATGCCACTGCTTTAGGCCCAAGCGAAAGACGCGAAAGACAAGCAGCGAGATTACAAAACGGCAACGCGTGTACAGGCAATCTAAATTGGGCTTCAGATAGGTTGGTTTTTCAATTAATAAGATATGCGCCATGACTAGTACCGAATTTTGCTCCGTCACGTGGTGCAGCTGCCCGGGGAGGAGCGTTAACCAACCCGGTACGTAATCTGCAGGCATACTTCGACGCGGGGATGGCGAAATCTCTTCAATAGCTCCAAGCAACGCAAGCATACCTTAATGAAAGTGCGGCCAGAGGGAGACAGGGGGCGCAAAGGTCGATGGCCCATCCCGGTCCAAATGCAGGTGCAGGTGTACAAGTTTCATGACATCGAACGATGACTAATTTAGAGATGGAATCAGTCGGTTAATGTGAATACGACCCAGATGATATGGACCTCGATGGACCTCTGGAAAGAATGGCCAATGCCACCCTTGGACACGCGCCCAACATGGTTCCCCGTATTAAGCTTTCGGCGGCCGGGTTCATGGAAGAGACCAAGATGAGAACCGAGCACGCAGCAGGGTGATCACTGTGTGGCCGCGTTCAAGAGGGACCAAGAGCATTATGGAGAAGATTATCTCCTTTTTGGAGTACTGTTGACCGGCTTTACCCAGAACTGATACCAAAAATTATGTCGCTCTGTTCGTGGAAATTGAAATGATTTGTTACAGGTCTGCAATTCTGTGGTTTGGGAATACCAGTGGCCCGCCAATATTACCATGCAAAGGAGAGGTCGACGAATCCCCGCTGGATTACCTATATCGTCTGAATGTCATTGGAATTAGGGCAAGATTAAGATCAAGGATGGTCCGTCCAAGATTCAAAAGGAACATGTCGAGCAATACATGGAAACCTTAGACGACCCAGAATTAGCGGACCAGTTGACCGTGGTACGTTTAGCTTATGTGGAAGAGATGGAGGATGTGCTGAGGGCGCGCAAACATACGAAGGACCGACGAGGTAAGATGTTCTTCGGGTTGAGCAATTTGCGCCAGAAAGCACCGATTCCCTTTGATCGGCCAAGAGAGCTGAATCGCCGCGCCGTTCATGCAGTTGAGCGACCCAGGAGCGATTGAGCTCTGAAGACTCTAGAATGGACAGTTCGGACAGTGAAAGTGACATACGGAGGGTCTATCTCATGGCTACGGAGGCGGAGAAGGACCTAGTGCTAAGGACCTCGAGGGACCGACCCATCAGAGAGGTCGACCAGCCTTGACCCTTGACCAAGGACCTCGGAACCCGCACGGTGTCGGCGACACTAAATGCAAGATATGCCCATTGTGTGTTCAGGAAGCTTGGAGACTTGAGTTGTTGGAAGAGGCTGACTTGTGACCGCTGTGAAAAGAAGTGTCGTCCATCGTATTGTTGCTTGTTTGTGTGTCGAGGCTGTGGAGAAACCCACGAGGTTGAGAAGTGTCCGATATAAGGATTCATAACTTGATTAGTCAGTCGTACAACCCGACCAAGCACGCCAGGATGTTGCCGGAGAAGTTCAAGCAGATGCTAAATTAGGACGCTCGCCAGGTTTGAATCTGGTACGAGCCGAGCGTTCTAGTTGTTGTAATATTTTGCATATGTGAGAAAACATCCCCAGACATTAGGTGGTGGTGTATATCTTGTCAACAGGGCTCAGGGAGGGTCCTCGTTGCTTGCACCGTGAACAAAGAATGACGCGAGCGTACCTTAGCGGAGATGCCGAGACTTCGGGGCTTCCGGCGTGGCGGCGTACATCGTGGTGGCGTACATCGTGGCGGCTTGGCTGGCGGTAGGGGGGGAGCGACAGGAGAGAGTTGTGGAAAGGGAGAGGAACCCGTTCAAACTGACGGATGCCGCGAAGCACCCGTCGGAGGCCTGAGCTAGCACCAGCTAGCCCAAGCCTTCGGGGGGAGGCCAACCCGACCAGGATAGAGGGTACAATACTTGCAGAATCTTAGCATTATCACTGAGAAGGATTGCGTCCCTCAGAATTCTGACCTTATAATCTATGTAGCAAAATGTTCATATGTTGATGTTTGTCGTAGATGGAATCAAATCTGTTGTTTTTCCTAATATGACTTTGGTAGAAAATTTATTGCTCTGAAACGAGTACGGCTTTTGTGAATGTAGCAGCAACGCAAGCAACGTTTTCGCCCTGAGTATGAAGTGGTACCGGCTTCTTTCTTAACGACATCGCATTCCTACACAAACAAATCGACGACAAATGCAGGGTTGGGTTTTGTCAGCAGGAAAAGCGATTGAATTGTACGTTAGTTCGCTTCAAACACGTGGTGGAGATAAGCATGAATATTGTAGGACTAGTGACGAAGCTTGTTTGAAGATGCGAATAGAGGTGGTATTGCATGAGGTCAGCGAACTTGGAGCAAGCATTCGTGTCAATTGATTGATGCTATAAGTCCAGACTACACGGCTTCTGGTTACAAGCGATTGCGATCTGTACTTCTGCGGCATTTCAGTGCACAACATCGCAGCCACTACTGACATGACTAAATTCTTGCTCATGTTGGATTCCAATAACCAGAAAGAATGGAAAAGAGACACAACTATGGCAGTAGTGCGGTGAGACAAATGACTTAGGACACACTTCAATTTAATCATGCTTCCGTCTTTATCACCTACGCATGCTCACCAAATCACGCAAGGAACTATCACTAAGATGTTTGCGCACAGCTACGAGTGCTTCTAGCTGTACGGAACGCAAAAAGTCACCTTTGAGCTGCTCTAATCGCTCCAGTTCTTCTCGTGCACCAACTATGCTCATGTCCACTTTCTCCTCTTCTGCAAGTCTCGGGTTAATAAGCTTGGCAAAATGGAACATGTTACAATTGCTAAGCTTTTTGAGCACTCGCATGTCATCACTATGTAACTTCTCGCCAATATATCCACGGATACTCTGGCCGTGACGCAAAAGTATTGTGCCCCTCTCGATAAGTCGAAGCAGCCCCATAGTGTAACTTTCTTCCTCTAGCTTCCATCGCCCCTTGCGCAAAGGGCACATGAGGGCGTAGATACTAGACGGCTCAAAACCAATTTTCAAAAACATCGCTAGCCAGTCGATCTCGTCGTGGCGAGTGCGCACAACACTGTTAGACTTTAGAAGCTCCTTGAATTTGACTGCCAGCGTCGTAATAGCAAAAGCCTCGCAATTTTTCACGCAAGTTTGCTTCCGACGAGCTGGCGCCACCGTCTTTTTCTTCCCAGTTGCAAAAGCAGTCTTGCTACAGACTCCTTCATTTTCATCACTATAGGTGATACGTGGACCGACCATACTAGGTAACTCAACTTTCTTCATTTCACGCAAATTACCTCGGATATAGCGCAGTCCAGGTGCCGACACGCTGCCTTCCGTATCAGACTTAATATTGGGAACATAACTCGAGCCTTCAAGCGACCTTGACGTTTTCAGTACGGTCATTCCGTACTCTGGCTCGTAGAGAGGCTGACAAGGTAACGGCGTTGGTGTTACCACGCGTCGCCGTTTCTTGACACTCATGTCAATCTCCTCCGCATGTCGATCCATGAATCCTACATGAGATGGTGACAAATGACGATGAACCTTGTCACTTCTCCTATGTTTCCTGCACAGTCCTTGATGGTAAATGTGTCGCGTCCCCGTAGTCTCGGTTGGGACGTGAATTTTACACGGATCGACGTTGTAGTGATATAATTGGCGGCGTCCAGCATGGTCGTGACTCAGTCGGAAGGGAGAAGAGTTAAACGGGTTCCGTTGCGTCTGTTCTTGGGTGATGTAGCAGGACGAGGTCTCTATAGGCGCTGGACGCACTCGACTCCACACATCCAGAGGCAACTGAGGGGACGCCTTGTCAATTTGATACGTCGGATAACGGTCAGGAATGTTAGTGCTTGGAGATGCAAAGAGTGGCGAGTGATGATTTAAGGTCCAAGTAACAGCAGAAGAAGAAGGACGGCGGATTCTCATTCCTTCATGCAGAGACTCGGACAATCTGAACTCTCCTCTCCTCGTTACGAAATGATCTTGCGTCTTTTCTCCTAGAAACTGCATACTCGGTGAGCTTGCTCCATGTAAAAGTGATGAAATCCTCGGTAAAACTGGACCAGCAGATATTGGAGTACCTCCTGGGCTTCTACATCCAGAATATTGACCTGCATGTAAACGATGGTTGATTACAGGTGACCTCCATTGTTGCTGCATTGGTATGTGTACGCTCAAGTCCATTGGAGGTGGAGACATGTGCAATATCTTCTGGTCGCGGTCTAGTAAAGGTGTTGTCATTTGTATTGACATGAACGATCGTACGTATGCACGTGCGTACAATTGTCGGAGCTACTACTACTACTACTGCTTAGTATACAGCAGGTTAATGAATGAGATGTACTGATCTCTCCTCCCAAAAATTTCATCATTTTTCTTTTCTAGGACAGATTTGAACGTGTCTAACTTATTATCCTTCGGTTGAGTTCTTTTATTTATTGAAGGTGCGTTCTATTTCCGACTTCTTGTAGCATCTCGCTTGCTATGGATGTACTTCCATTGGTAGCGTTGGATCTTCTTCTTATCAAGTAAACAAAATACTTGAACAAATGGTGTAGAATAAGATGTGATAAACTTTTTTTTATTGATTGTGGAAGTGACAGATGAAACAAATGGAGGAAAGCAACAAAAAGTCTTTGGAAAATGACGTAAGGTAATGCCTCCCTCCTCACCCTTAAATCCTAACGTACGACTAGTGACAAATTCCAAGTTGAGATAAAGTTAGTTAATCGAAGCTATATATAAATTGTCATGTGGTTAATAGTAGCAGCACTTTTTTCGGCTATTCGTTTCACTGGGTTTGATCCTAACCATTTCTGTTACTTTGAGTGACACTGTCAAATAAATGTCGGTTGGGTATTAGATCCAAGTTAGTACCGTTTGACATGTTTTTTTGTAACGTCTAAACTAGTGATAGCCTTTGCAATAAGAATGCTCTGAGCTACATTTCCTTGTGGCCAAGATCAAATTCGGCGTTAATGCAAGGCAATTACTGACCATGCTTTGTTGGTAAATAAATGTTCAAGCAACGATAGCGCTATATCCATAGTGTATCCGTGCGCTTGAAGCCACGCAACTACGGAAAACATTGCAATTGAAAAGCCACCGAAGCGTTGATTTGGTCCAGAATGACACGGTTAAAAGCCATGTGTTATACAGCCAAATCAGAAAAGACGACACAGAAGAACAGTTTTACCGTCAGTGATTTTACTGTGCTTTTGCCCATGTACAACATATAGCTGCGTGTTGAAGCTGTCTCTCTCTTCACGTTCACCGAAAGTGAAGTTTTACTGTTACTACTGACAAGACTTTTGATGATAAAATTGAACTTAGAAGGTTTTACACCATCTCTTTTGAAGCAAATATCAGTCAGGTGATGTCGAATAACGGTAACATTTGACATCTCACAAAGTAATGATAACGGTTTTGCGCCAGATGTTATTTACTGGTACTTCGGTTACTTTCCACTTGCAACATAGTTGGTACGTAGAAATGTTCCATACGAGCTCGAATTGATAGGGTTGGTTATTGCAGTGCTTGTAGTGTTATACTAATTGGCTGGAAATCAAGCACGTGATGTACAAGATGTTGGCATTTAGAATGCTGACGCATCGAAGCCAGCGCCTTTACCAGTCTACGGATTGAAAACGTTCCAACGAAGCCTGAATCTCTCCAAGATCTTTCTGCACCTTAATGCGCTTGTAGAAAATTGGACAATCGCGGCTGGTGCACAACACGTCTTGATGCAGACTGCCCTGGCAGTTTTGGCATTGCGTCCAGAGGCGCGCAAACATATGCTCAAGCTCATTGACCGACTGAAGTTGCCGTGAAAACACCTCAGCCTCGCGCTCTACGCAACTGCGGCAAAGCGCTCCTTTGCCACTTAGTGGGGCCTTGCAGCCTAGACACTTGAGCTTCTTCACAGCAAAATTCATCATCCCACCGCTGTTTTGCTTTAAAACGGGTTTGGACCGCTTAAGCGTGTGAGCACCGTTAAAGAGGTCCGACTTAACTTTGCTCAGGCCAATTATGGGCTCGAATATACGCTCCAGCGGGTTTTGCAACTGCTGCTTCATGTAGTAGTCGCAATCGATTGGGATGCTGTTCTCGAGAGCATAAACAGGATCCTCTGCCTTTTCGTGCAATGGCGTAGCTTTGCCCTTGTCGATAATCACGTAAGCGATGCGCTCACCAAGAGCTGGAGCAGACCCAGCATCACGCTTGCGCATGCGTTCAGCCAACTCAGTATGGGCTTGTTTTACCTTGTAGTCATCTTGATCAACCGTCTTTGATAGCCCTTTCGTAATCACTAGCAACGATATATCAACACGGTTCTGCAGAAGGTCCGAAATGACGTTCTTTGTGTACAAAATTGCACCCGGCACGTCACGGTTAATGAGAATTTTGCGCAACACTGACTCGACCATTCGCCTTACCAGCAAACAGTTGTCACGACGCACAGTCTCAAGACCTTTTGAATCCAGCTTGTCGTATTTCTCAGGATTTGTCCACAGCAAACCAGCGTATCGCTTTTTGTTCATCAGCAAATACGGAAAGTATACCTTTTCAAACTCAAGCTTGATTGGGTCTGGAAAGATTACTGACACGCGCTTGGCAGCCTCTTCAGCCAGCGGCATGGCTTCTTCCACAGTGTCAACGCCAAATTTTATCATAACAGAATCCGTATCACCATATACCACTTGTGCGTCCGCTTTGTACCCATTTGCAATGGTGTACACGCGTTCAACTTCCTCACGCGTACGAAACAACAACTGCCGACCATATGCTGTTGTACTCGAAGCAATAGGAATGCACGGCATTTGCCCGACAATTGCGCCCGTAAAGCCATACACGGAATTTGCGCTCACCTTGAGAGCAAGCTGTCTACCATTTTGCACTGCCTTCTCCATTGGATTAGTGGCAGCATTCATATCTCGCTTCGCCTGCTTTCGTGCTGCCAGCACTTCCTCCAAAATCAGCGGCAAAATGCCCTTCTTCTTCTTGCTTGTCACAAAAATATCTCCTGATGGTGACTTTTGGTAGTCACCTGAGGCCAACTTTTCCACATCCCCAGGCGCAACAAGTGTGGAGTAGCAAAGGTTATATGCCTGCATGATCGATGGATACAGTGACGCAAAATCCAACGTCGCGATGGGTACCGAGTAAAATGCTTTTTTAGGCTCAATCACCGTGGCGCCTTCATATCCTGCTTCTTCGTTGTTCTGAGAACGAGGAAGTGTTGGTACAACAAGTGATGCGTCTTTGCACTTGCGTAAAAGCATGGAGAACACTTTAATTTGCTGGCCACGCTCAATCAGGAAATCAATTGGAACGCCAGACACACGGGCCATTTCAATGTAATTGACGAGGTACGAAAGTTTGTCCAGTAGTCGCAGCGGCAGGTACGCATCTTTCAGACAGTAGACAGCAAGACGGTGACGATCATCATCTGATCCTCGCTGCAGGTCGCTGATGATGCCATGAGGCACGTCTTCTTTTTGCTGACCGAGGAAGGCAGCACTCACTGCATTCAAAGTGTATGAGCTTAGCTGTTGACTGCGTCGCATTATCGGCAGTACATCAAACATGCATCGTCCGTGGATAGACGTCTTTACGTTTTCACTTTTGCCGTATTGCGCCGAATTAAACACCTTTTTCTCCATATGCACCGCTCTGTTCCGCGTCATACCAAACAATCCGTCAGTTTCGTCTCAAATCAAAACCAGCAAATAGCAGGATGGCACAATACGTACGTATGCGCTAACCTGCCCAGCAGGTTGTAGTCCTGTACTTTAAGCACCTTGCCACGGTTAAGCAAGTACGGAATATCAAAATTGGCAATATTGTACCCCGTGATTATGTCTGGGTCCACTTCCTGCACAAATCGCGCCCACTTCTCAAGCATGTCTCCTTCCTGCTCAAATTCCATGACATGAGCACCAACAATCGGCTTGCAAGTGTCTAATACAAAGACATTGCGAATAATAGGCGTATGAGATCCCTGCTCCTGCACAACATTGGCAATCTGAATCACTGGGTCTTGATCTGCCTCTGGAAAGTGACCTTTTCTGCCCATGCACTCAATGTCAAAACTCAAGATCCTGAAAGGAGCCACTCTGCCCCACTTTCCATCCGGAGCGTGGCTGACCAGGTTATCGTACGTAATGTCAATCTCTAGCTGACACAATGACTTCTTCTGGGTAGCAGAGCGCACCGAGTACGTTCCGTGTGGTGCTTCTACCCAGTTGCATCCCTTGATGTCCTCATCGATCATAAAGCGTAGAATGAAGGGCACGTTACTTTCGTACGTTTGGTAGCTGCGAAAGTCGCAACCAGGCAATGTGAGACCCGCTTCCAGAGCACTGCGCAGCTTGGGAACGTAGCTGGGCATGCTCAGAAAGATCTTAAAGAGCGTCGTTGTCTTGTCAAATTGGTAGCCGTAAATAGACATCTTGTCCCGTACCACTTGGACGCCCACGACGCGCGCATTGCTGCTGCTGTCTCGGTCTCGCTGACTTACAGCCGAGTCAAGTGCCTGTCGCACATCTCTGCAGCGACTGTCATCGAAATCATCCGGACAAATGCAGTAGAAATAAGGCAGCACGCCATGCACATGCATGAGGACGCTGTGACCCTCCATGGTGACGCCAAAGAGGCGGATGATTGCCGCATTATGGCCCGCGTCTCCACTGAAATTGAGTCCAGGTACCTCTGACCCTTTCTTCGGGTTCATTTTTAGCGGCGGACCGTCGTACATGTCGATGTCAATCCACTGAAAAACCACCGAATCGGTGCTCGGGTTGAGAGGTCCCAGGGCCTTACGTGGCCACGAACTAGCCTTCGTTGAAATTGGCGCCATATTTTCTAGCTCTTCCACAAACTTCGAGGTCTCATTCTTAGTCCCATGTACATTTAATCGAGGCTTCTTGGGCTCAATGGAGTTGTTGGCCATAGCCGGAGGTAACTCGCGCTTTAGACGTGTCATTGGCAATGCATTTGTTTCCCGCCAAAATGATTAATATGGTGTGGTGGACCCTATTTTTCGCACTGGTCCAGAATAACTTGGTCAATTTGAAGTAACAGACTGGGTACGACCTTCTTATACTGGACTGGAACATGACGACCATGCAGGACGACAAGCTACCGCAAGACTGCATCCCGGACGCTATAAATCACGATCTAACAGCGCTACTTTCTTCTGAACACGTGCAGTATGTTCAATCCTGTCGTAATCTGTTCTTGCGCGCCTTCTTTCCACTTTCAGACGTTGAAATTCTCGCGCTCGAAGCCAATGGCAACGCCGGTACAGTACTCTTTCTTTCTAGAATCAGATGTCAGAGTGAATGTTGATCTGATTCTAAACTTCAACTTTAGCTGATAATTGGCATCATGTGCGCAAGATACACGCGCATTTGCCACTCGTAACGTCTCGCATCCGTCAGTGTTCGTTCCACGAAAGAGTCGTGCTCGGTAACTTCACTGACGTCTTTAGCCATGATGTGGATGGAATTTCTTTGCCCTGTGGAGTCTACAACTCAGCTCTGAGCCATGTTGTCGTACTGGACGATGCCCTAATAAAGGACACACTCGTGCTGAAGAACGTTCTTGTCGACGTTCAAGCGTCGGTTATGAAATGTGGCAGTGTCATTGGTCCAGACACTGGAGAAGCGTTTGCTAATGGTGTAGTGCTACATTTGGGCGTGGAAACAGGCGGCCGTGATCTTCGTATGGTGGCAGATTTACCTTTTGCTCTAGGGGCTGCAGTCATCACGCAAAGACAAGATATAGACTTGTTAAAGGCATACGAGACATTTGTGGACGAGTATGTGGCAAAAGTTGAGTCACCGATGGCAATTGTAGCGTCAAATGCTCGTGTGCGTGAGTGTTCTCGTGTGCAAGGGACTTTTGTGGGGAAGTATGCAGTCGTCGAGGATTGCAATGTCACTAATTCGACAATTCTGTCGACTCTAAAGGAGCCCTCTGTCATTCGAATCAAAAGCATCGTCCGTAACTCGATCGTGCAGTGGAATTCGACGGTCGAGACGCTTAGTGTAGTGGAAGGAGCATTTTTGTGCGATACATCGCATGTGGAGCGTCATGGAGTAGTCATGAGCTCCGTCATTGGACCCAATACGTCAATTGCTGAAGGTGAAGTGACGTCCAGTTTTGTCGGACCTTTTGTGGGTTTCCACCATCAGGCGCTTCTTATTGCCTCAATCTGGCCAAAGGGTAAAGGAAATATTGGTTTTGGAGCTAATGTTGGTAGCAATCATACTCTCAAGGCTCCTGATCAAGAGATGTTTCATGGCGAAGGAGTGTTCTTTGGGCTAGGGTGCAACGTAAAATTCCCCAGCAATTTTGTGAGGGCGCCATATTCGGTCATTGCAACTGCGGTTAGCACACTGCCGCAGCTGGTGTCAATGCCTTTTGCGCTGATAAACACACCAGGTCACAGTGTCCCATCGCTTTCTCCAGCTATTAATGAAATCTCACCAGGGTACGCTTTGCAAAAATGTTACAAGTGTGAGAATCTATCATCATGCAAGAGTGTTAACATATATGCTTGGTCTGCATTGAGTAGGTGGGCGCTTACTAATAGTGTGTTCACTGTACTCCGGAACGAGAATAAATTTCGCACGCGCAACAAATCAAAGCGCACGCATATCGAGGTAGATGTACTCCACCCGGAAGTTGTACAATACATGAAAGGTGAAGATTGCGTCATTGTTGATCGGGAATATCAATGCTATGGCTAATGCAGCTTTTTTCTTATTGATCAGATGCTCGTGCGGAACTTGCAGCTGCAGAAGGTAAAGCGACACTAAGCCTTGCGAACGGGGAGGCTGTGTACACTGATAAAGAAGTTCGAGGATTGGGCAAGAATTATATGCGTGAGGTATCTCGCCTCGCGGGAATTGCGGCATATACATTCTTCATAAAGCTGTACGCTCTCGACGCACTATTGAACCTTGCTGAAAGCGGTTGTGTATGTGCTGATAGAACTGTTGCATCAGTGGCCAGGTACAAGCTGCACTTTGTAAGATAGATGCTTGCTCACTGTTGGCTTGTCTGATGTCTCATTGTTATTCTTTGGTTAAATGCTGTAGTACTCAATATGAGCTAGCTACACTGGCGGAGGAATTCGACTCCAGAAAACTTGTTTGTGACTGTCTCAATGATCTCGTTGTAATGAAAGCTGAGGTAGCTAAAATGGCTGCTGATGGTAAGATGCGCGACGATGTGCGCGGCCAGCAAATTATTCCCGATTATCTGGATGTGCACAACCCAGCAGCAAGTGAGCCTGTGGTTATTCAAGCTCAGAGGTTAGACCGCTGCATATTGCGTTTATTGTTTTATTCATTCGTTCTGACGTCCAAAGTGCACCTCATTTCTTTTGACAGGACTGCACACGACACCAAGCAACGAGTTGCTACGTTCCTAGGGCGCGGATGAGTTTACTTGCGTTTGTGTAGGTATGGCCTAATTTGCACCTAAATAGAAACGCTCGTTGTGGCGAGATACGTCATGCGAGGCAAGTCAGGTTGAATGCGGATCGGAAAGGCTGATGAGAGGTGATGTAGACTTAACTAAACCGTCACTTTGTTGGGTGAATAACCAACTCAGTGGGTGGGTGGTTGCTGACACAGCCCGAAAAAGCTAGCAGGGCAAGACGCCGCAGTTTACCCTGTCAGCTCTATTGTTAGGGGATGCCAAGGCGCTGAAAGAATAGCTGCTGTCGATACTCTTCGTCACATCGCTGCCGCCACAATAAACAACTTACGTTGGAGGAAGTAGACGCTATTTGAATGCAATGTTTGATCAACTGCGACAAGAGAGACGAACCCGCCAGCTTTTACAAGACATTTCATGCAAATTTCAGGTAAAACGTGATTTGTAATGAAACAAGACAATTTCACGTCACTTTGCCGTAAGCGCAGTACCATGTGCTGAAAAGTTATGGTCTTTCCAGCAAGACCGCCGGAGACATCGTTCGTGTCAAAACATACAACCTGCAAGAAATGTCGACACCTGATGATTTATTCTATCCAGCAACGTCCTCAAGAGACAGAAAAATAGACATCCTGTGCAACTGGGATCTGGAATGTTGTCATAGCTCATGTGAGAATAGATGGAAGGAAGTAACACTTCTTGACAAGGAAATTGCCCGAACTACAGCAATCTTAGCTTTTGGTATAGTTGTGCGCTGCGACATCAAGGCAGTATCTCAATCCGAGGAGAATAGCAAACGCATCTAGACCGTTTCTGTTTTCGTCGAGAAGGTGCTGTCAGCGCAGACAGAGCAATCGAATGGTTCAATTCCAATACTATAGGGCAGCAAGTGCATGTCTATGGAACGTTTTTCAACGGAAGAATATTGCCAGCAAATTTGCTTTTCTTCGGATTAGTACCGAAGCTGGCAAGTATGTCAACACAAAAGTCAGCACAGGTGCCAGCACTGGCTTGAGTTTTCTTATGACAAACAGAAAGCATTAGCGGCCATGTACGCAACTTGAGCAAGTCAATGATTTTGAGGATGAAGTGAAATGCAGCCAGCAGTGCAAACGGGGACTTTTGATCCCACGCGACATCAGCCTTTCATGGATAGGCGATAGAGGCTGAGTATTGCAGCAGCGAGGCAATTAGGCAAACCAATCGCAAACGCAAATGGCGCCACGTGCAAATAAAATATTCCGCACAGAAGATAGATAGAAGCAATGACCGTATTAATTACTGGAATAGAATAGCAGCACAATTCTTGTAGAGGATATGCATCAATAACTTAAGCCCTTCTCCAGCCAAAAGCTCATTACTTGGCCTTCGGACTGTTGGCGTGGTGAACGCGACGAGACACCACACGCCGTTGCACGCAAAAATCTCCAATCCAATAACCTTCCACGCGCAATGCATCCTCTGAATTAGATCGACTTGAAGCCGTACGTACATCCTGCTTGGATGCAAATGTAGCGCGTCTTGACCGCTCCATCTGCTTCACATTGTTCATCATACCCGTATCTGCTCGACGTCTCGGAATTTTTCGTTTCTCCGCCGTCCCGTCTGCGCTGCTTGTGCAAACAACTTTTCCTCTCGCACTCGATCTACCAAATCTGCTACCACCAATTGCCGAAGAAGACCGTAGACGTGTTGCTTCTTGCCCCTGTGGTTTTGCATCTGTAGTGTGACTACGCATTCTCACATCCGTCAAGCTCATACAGTGTCTGGAATACGGGGCGTTCGTCTGCACCTTCTTGTTGATACAGGCCTCTCCTTCTCCTACAACCTTCCTGGCCTCTCCTGCCCCTACAACCTCCCTGGCCTCTCCTGCCCCTACAGCCTCACTGTCATCGTCTTCTGACTCTGTCTCGGACGGCGGTGTCGTCACCACCTTCTTATGATGACCCGACAACATTTCAGCGTACGCCGTATAGCTCACGGCTGCCTTCATCTGCATCAGTGCTTCTTCCTTCTCTTGTTCTCTTTTTAACAGTGCTGCCTTCTCCTCCGCCTGTTGCGACGACTGCGTCTGAGGCACCCGTGAACACGAATAAAAACCCTTGGCATAACGTTGTCGCCGTGAGTTTACAAACCATAACGTAAGCGCTACTGCACCACTCATCAGCGTATAACGCAGCGTTACAAGCTGGACAAGAAGCATTAACAAACAAAAAAGTGTCGCGATCGTCAATAGTAGCAACGCCACGACTGCCACACCAACGATACATAAAAACCCTCGACCCATTTTGTACCACTTGAGTATGGGAAGGTAAATTACAAAATGATAAGACACATACATACTTTAGGAGGTCAAAAAAGAGGATGGGCAAAAAAATTGGGTTCTCACTCCGGTTTTTTGTGCCAAACCAGGTCTTATGTTGCCCGAATGATTTCTTTCTTGGCTCGTTTACTCACTAGTCTTTGCTCACGTTTTTGTCTTGTCTAATAGCGATAAATTGAGTGAGCATGGACTGTACCGTCTGATAGAAAAGAACGGATCTATTTGGGTCAACACGTGCAGCTAGATTTTTCTTGCCCACAAGTTGCAGAGAATCGAAGTGCTAATCTCAAGCGACATTGCGCATGGGTATAGCGCATTAATAGACCAAGTGTATGGAAGTATTTTAGCTACTAACAAACGGGGCGTTTATCAAGAAACGTTTCTTTTCTTTCTTTTTTTTAAACAGACACAGGACACAGCCAGCAAAACAGACGGCAAGTTGACCGACCGACCGACCAACCAACCAACCAACCGTCCACTCAAACGATTGTTGCAGTAGAATGATACTATCATAAACTCAGCCACACACCCCTAAAAGCTGAAGATATCTTTGTACGGCTCTATAATGACAACTGTGGGAGGGTGGAAGTGGCGGCTGCGTCGGTTCCTTTCTTTTGATCCCGTGTGTCAGAAATTGCGGTGGCCACACCACATGATGGTCTTATAAGCTATCTACCATTAGTAATCCAATGATCACCATTGACCATCGGTCGACTTTAATCGTAGCTATGGCAAACGTTTTTCTCTCTACATGAAATTTTGACATATTCAGTAGAAAATGCTGTCATTCTGTACCCTCGTTATTGTAAACTTTGCGATACATGATCATTACTAGCACGTGAATTGAAGAAATTAACGACAGAGCAAAGATGGTAACGGATGAACCACGTGACGTTACTTGAACGCTTCTTCTAATCCATGTATTATTGTTATTTTGTTGTTGTTGTTGTGTAAAATGACTAACAATTGTACGCATTACAATGTTACAAGATCAACCAGTCATTGGAAAGAGAGAGAGTAAAACAATACCACGATACGAGGTAGTATCATTCATAACAAAATGTGAAACGTATCTCTTTGACAGTCGCACACAACATCTTTTTCCTTCTTAATCCGCGTGCAACGAACGGCTCCGTGCTTCCTGCGTCTGCCGTCTTATACATGACAACATCACATATACTCTTGGCCATTAACAAAGGCGATTTGCAGTCGTTGCGTCCATAGCACTCCTTCCCAACCATAGGTCTCGCTTCGGCTTGATAATTGTAGAGACCTGCTGAACCACATTGCCGTCACCATCGACGTTGAGCGAGTGATACCAGAGTAGCACGGACAACAGTGCCAGTTGACATGCCGATTCTGACCGTCTGCGAGCGCAATAGACGCGAGTGTTTTTTGAGCGAGCTGGCATGACGGCGTTCGAGCAGCTGAAAGACTGAGAAACACGTGGATTCTTCGCTGTCGTAACGAATGGCCACAGACATGCTGGATTTTTGTATTTTACCTATGGTCAAGCTGCATTTGCTTTACGCTCGAGGTTCGACTTTACCTTCCCGTGTTGCAACAGGTAGCAATGTCACTATGCAACAGATAGCGGTAGAGCTCCTTTTAATGGTAAAGCGGCATCATGATTCTGTTTATATAGCCAAGAAATACTGAAGACAAAGCTGAAGAGAAATATTCGCCGCGCCGTAAGCGACTCGAGGCGCGGCAAATTGGCCGACGGGAGCGATGCATTGCGTTTTGATCGCATGGCCAGCTATCGCCATGAATACGACTAGAGCAAAGACCACGCTACGTTGGCAGGAAAGTTGTCAATCGTGAGGCTAGTCGGAAGTACGAGGAGCAATATGGCAGTGACACAGAGACTTGTAGTTGTGGCTTTTACAATCAGCTTTCACGCAGAAGGACTGCCTTATCACTATCAATAGGTGTAACCTTAAAGCTGTCTGCGCCGCTGTGAATCCGTGGCGTGGTGGAATGGTATGTTTCAGAAGTTGCAGGGAAGCTTTACATAGCGTCGCGACTCGCGCACATTTTGTCTTTTTGTTCCCGCGTATAAGGTGTTTCAATCGTTGGGGACGTGCAATTCTGACTTGACGCCAAAGAACAGAAGGGCAAGAAGATTAAATTGTACCTCGTGTCTATCGAGAGAGGAGAGAGAGGGAGAGGAACGAGAAGGGGACAATCGAGCGCATGATTTGCAAACATGAGCAAGTGAATGACATTGTTGGAATCGATCTATATGCTATTGAGTGTAAGATTCTGGCGCTTACAGTCATTGACACAGGTCAATGGACTTTTTTCCGGGTGCATCTGAGCGCTGTTGCGATGAATGTGTTGGGACCTGGATTTCGAAGTCGGTTTTTGCAGAAGTTGCCGCTTCGACGCTGTAGAATGTTAGTGCAGATCTCCGACTATTGTTTTTCTCTGACATTTTCCAAGGCGTCAGTCTTAGTTACATCGTTTGGACAAAAGACGCGTGGCAAAAAAGTGTAAAGCACTAGCTAGACACGTAAGCAGGAGCTGTTGATGGTGTAGATGGAGTTACTTTGTACTTACTTTGTGGTTGGCATCCATCCAACAGTTGCTACATTTTGTTCCTGAAACGACGCGATCCAAAATCTGAGCCGTATGAGAATTCTTTGTACAAGGTACGACCATCATCACTTTGGAAACGTTGTTTGCGACAAGTACTGTCCTTCTCGATTAGTGTCAACTGTCGCTACAAGCGAGGCTTTCTCTGCGGTACGCGACTCCAAGACGGTGTTTAAAATAGATTTACCATTGCCTCAAACAAGTTAAAGTAGATCCAAGCTAATATCTTGCGGTCGGTTCGGCTTGAAGCGGTGTAATTCTCCTATTCCTTCCTTGGCTGTTAATGAATCCTAGACAACAAGTCACATCCACAGTCATGCAACTTGATTCGGATACTGGTTACAGTTGTGACGAAGGTTTACGTAACAGGTCCAAATGGCGCCGAGAAGAGCACGGGCGTTTTATGCAGGCGCTAGAGCTGTATGGTGCAAGGCAAACAGGAGACGAGTGGAAGCACATTACGGAATTTGTGGGGTCGCGTACCATGATGGAAGTGCGTCTACATGGACGACAATATCTCCAGCGCCTTGTTCAACAACTGCCGCTCACCCCCATGGTCACGCCTCCAAATGGCTACTTTCCCAGGGCAGACAGTCAGAATGACCCGAACAGACTGAACTATCAGGTGCATTGGGGCGTGGATCGGCAGAAAATACGAAGTGACAAAGGTAAGAGAGTTGTTCTTCATCCGAGTGACCCGGTTGGTGGTGTAAGTGCGCTGAGTTCTGCAGCGTTGGATTGTGCACTATTGATGAATGTAAAATCCCCAGTTCACTTCCGCAGTCAGTCGCTTCATCCTTTAGAGCAACAAAACCATTCAGTGATCACGGCGATACATGGGAACGGACGAAGGCCTAAAGCCTGGACATTTCAAGAAGAAAAAGCTTTTGAAACAGCACTTGCAGGTTGTGCTGGAAGCAAATCGTACCCTTGGGCTAACATTGCGGCAATTATACCAGGCAGGACGGCTAAAGACGTGCGTAGCCGTTATGATGAGATGGTGGAAGAAGTTGCATCTATTGAGGCTTACGAGACACCAGTTACTGATAGCTCGACTTCAAGTCGTATACAACGTGACTCTGTGGTTGTGCGACAGCAGGGACGTAGCTCGTTGAGCCGACGCGCAATTCCACCACCGCCCATTGAGGTTCCACCGATTAGAGGTGGTAAAGGTGAGCTGTAGAGACATAGAAGCTATTTGACGCATGCTAGAATCTTATTACTGTGTAATGTCTTGCCTATAGACGGAGCAGTGGGTATTTTCTCATCAGGCACTAGCACACGAAGCAGCAGAGGGTTTTCAAGCGGGATTGCTATGCTTAGTCCAACATTTCTTGACATGTTAGCTAACGAAGCAGACAGCGAAGAAAAGTCGCCGCTGCCAGCATTATCACCACCGTTCTCAGGACTAACCAACTTGCCATCCCCGTTGTTTTCGCCAACACTACTGTCAGCAGGGTTACGTGGTAAAACACTCATGAACGCGGATAGCTGTGGTGACGTCGTTAAGATGAAAGACATGAACACAGGAGCAGCAACTGCGTCGAGTGGAAGTAAAGACCCGCGGCATTCTACAACACCGCGAATACTGAACGACTTTTTCGCCGGTGATTTCAGGTTCGACGACCCATTTGGCACAACACCGATTCAGAGGAGAAAGTCACCGCGTTTAAGGAAGTTGGCAACTGTTAAGCAGGAATCCTCGACCATCAAGATTGAAAATGGGGCAGGCAAGCTAGACGTCAAAATGACTGACGCCTCAGCTGCTTGAAGCAACAAGGAGAGCGTACATGCTAAGACGGTTAGGTTGGAGTCTAATAGTATGCATCACTTACTCTTCTACTCACTGCTTCGCATGCGATACCCTCATGCTTGAAATCTATATATGCTTGCTATCATTACCTACAACCTGCTGCTTAAATGGTCGATTAGGTTGTCTACTATCCTCTACGGTCCTACTCGCTCGCATTTCTTGCGACTAACTACCAAATCTGCCATTTGTCTACTGCTACTTACTATCGCGACCTACAGCCGCTTTCCTACTCGAATTCACCATCATTCGCCATTGCGTTGTTGTACTTCGTCTTCTACTACATCCCCGTAAATAACACACGGCAGCATCAGCTACTGCACCTCGCACTCTCTACAGGTTAAAGCGCGTCGTGAGGAACCGTCGCAGAGGCTCCGGAAAGCTCGCAAAGTACGCAGCCCAGTTTTCACCCAGGCTCGTCTTAAAGCCATGCACAATTTGGAACAACATGTCCTTCAGCTCTGCATGCTGGATCTGCTGACCCTCTAGCGAAGCAATGGCACCGCACATGTACATAAAGTCAGCGACGATGCCATTCGGGTTCGCCTTCACCATGTAGCACAGACCCAAAAAACAATGCTCTTTCTCTTCTGGCGCCCGTACATGCGCGAGAGCGCGACACCAACGCTTCGCAAACTCCTGCAAATGCGGTGCCACAACGTTCGGGCACACGTAGCCGAGTCGGCCGATGGTGATCGTGCAATTCTCCACTAAGTTACGTGGCAATTTTGGGCGATTGATCATGCCAATTAGACGACCCAAGCAACTCTCGACATATGGTTCCATATCAGCGCCGATACGTATAGCGATCTCGCCTACCGACCAGCTTGCATTGTTACACACAGTAGGCAATTCAGCGTCGATATTATCAATCAACACCGGCAGCAGGTCGCCAAGACCAGGGCGGAGCATGTTCGACGCGTGTTTCGCAAGGTCGCCTACAACGCCCATGGCGCTCTGGCGCACATCCATTACTTCGTGACGCACGCAACTCCTAAGCACGTTCAGGATGTTCGATCCATTCAGCAGTGCTTCACTGTTGTGCTGCAGACCTTCAATCATGCCCGAGATCAGGTCTAAAGCGCACACAATCAGCTCCGGATCACCCTCATCAAACTCTTCAGGGCTCTGCTCTGACATAGCGTCAGCAAGCAGCTCGTTTTCCACAATGCGCTGACAACGAACGTAAACGTTCATCGCAAACTCTTGAAAGCCATTGCCCAGCGCCTGAGCCACTGGCGCCAGACACTCAAACAGCGGTAGAATCTCGCGGCTTCGGTCGTCCAAAGCATTCCACTTTGCAATTAGCGGAGGCATAAGGATCTGAATCAACTCAGAGTGATTCAAGTGGTCGCCAATCGAGTCTGCAAGCGTTCCAATCGCATCGTACAAAATTAACAGGTTCTTCGCCTGATATTTGCCAAAAGCAAACATAAGGTTCTGCAGAATTGGTGTAAGGTAAGGCACCAACTCCTCGCGAGCTTCTTCCTCAAGAGTGCAAAACGCAGAACATGCTGCCTCTTGTACCTTCTTATGCGGATCCAAAATGCGCTTTAGCATACCCTCAACAAGTGGCTTGAATAGCACCTCGTGGTTGCCTTGCTCCACGACCCACGAAGCATAACGGCTCAATGTCCAGCAAGTAATGCTACGGATGAGTGGTGCAGGGTCGTCCAATTTCTGCAGCAGGAACGGGTACAACTGGGGAAGGTGAGGCGTGATTCCATTGTAGCAACCGTCCGCAATTGCACCAAGGGCCAGAATACCACTTTCCACCAGCGGCCACGGCTGTTCCTGCGCAAGACGCTGCTGCAGCAGCGGCAGCAACGTCGGGAGAATGTCGTTACCGTAGCCATTGGCAAGGTTGTCGAGGCTAGCAGCCGAGCAGCGACGAAGATTCCATTTCAGCAGCGAGTCGTCATCATCATCATCGTCGTCGTCCTCGTCATCGCCGTCGTCCTCGTCATCAAGATTGCCACCCTCCTGTCCACCGCCACCCTTGCGGTGAAAGATAGGCTTAATGTCCTCCGGTCGGTCAGGCACATTTTCATTTTGACTTTGCTCCTCGGCCTCGAAATTGGCCAGATCCTCCTCGCTGTATACCATGCGCTGGAACAGCAGTGGCACGATCTGTGCCAAGTACGGCAGTAGCATGGGCTTAATTTCATTGAACTCGCGTAGATCGCAAAAAGACGCCCAAAACTCGCAAGCCTCGATGGCTACATTCTCATCCTCGTCCTGGTTGGCGCGAAGGATGAACTGAATAATGCTGTCCAAGTGTGGTACGAGGTACTGCACGCCTACCTCAAGCAAGATGACAATACTCTTGCAAACGAGTTTCCGTACGTCATTGGACGGATCTTGCGTGAGTAGTGAGATGCCCGCCAAGAAATTCTCCATTTGTACAACCAGGCCTACGGGCATGTAGATAAGCACATTGTTAAGGCATTCGAGCGCATCACGGCGAAAATTGGCGTTCTGGTGGTGAAAATACTGCAGCAGCTTGGGCACGAGTACATTAAGCGGGCGACTGGGTGAGTTTTCAAGCTTCGCAGCCGAGTCTTCGCAGATTTTAACAAGCGCGCCAAATGCTCCAGCTACTGCATTTTCATCTTGCTGCTCTAAGAACAAAAGCAGTGCCGGCATGAGCTCCGGCCATTCATCTAAAAAGGTGTATTGGGACACAAATGTAGTGACAATGGAGCCAGCTGTGTTGCGAATGGGTGGCAGCGGATCAGCCAGTACTCGGAGTGTCTGGCCACGAATGACAGCAAAAACCTCCACCTCAGTTGGCGTCAGTACGGTACTAGCATCACGTGCTTTAATATTTCGTTTTAGCAGTAATCCAGCAAGTTGACGAACATTTGATTCCGTCTGCATGGAGCAGAGTAAATGAACCAAATAGAGATTAAACTCGAGATTCTTCTGAAATTGCTGGAGACGTTGGTATGAATCCTGTTGCACTTGATTATTTGGTACTGTATACACTTGTAATAGAGCAATAACTTCATGAAGAAGTGTCGGTTGTGGCTGCCACATGTCACTCATAATGATTCGTAAACCGCTTAAACGAGTGGAAAACGTCTTGGGGTGAGCGAGTGAGTGAGTGAGTGAGTGAGTCCACTTGGTCTTTTGCTTTGACACTTTAATCTTTGACGCTGTGGATGATAATGAATATATAGGTCGAATATAATAAATGTGTATGTGATACTATAGAGGACAAAATAAGAAGAGAGAGATAATAGAGTGAGTGAGTGAGAGAGAGAGAGAGAGAGTGAATGCTGTAGATGAAAAGATAATGCCACACAATAAGTAAATAGTTGTGGAGTGGGAGGAAATGGAGGAGAAGGGTGGAGTGTGAGAGATGTCATTCTTGTGAAAGTATGACATACTGATCTAATTATGAGCGAGCTACTGTTGCAGATGTAAACAATGGAATGTTGCTTGAAGAACAACGAATCATATGTTGAGGCTAGCAAGAGCTCATGATGAATGAATGTATTGCTTGTGCATCATAAGTAAACGCACGACAGATCGATTATGTAAACATCATCTTTGTAAGTGTTCTTACAACATATTGTACATGATTAAGGAGCACTGTACTTGTTAATTTGTTGGTATGGATGCAATGAGACGGTAGTTATATTGTCTGAGAATACGCTAATGAAATGATTCTGCATTATGTACACAACATCTCGTTATAGAGAGTATAGCTCAAGCTCAGCTTAACGATAAAGTATTCTCGTTTCTACCATTACAACTTGATAGTTATTATTTTGGTGTGTTAATAATAACTGCATACATACATATAATAAAGCCATTTATCTCCTTGTTATTCTTACTTATAGCAACATCCTAGGGTGCAAAGTGGCTACATTGATGCAATTATCTATTTGTTAATATACAACTTCCTTTTATCTTCTTAACCAATCAGAAGAGACGTAAACATCCCTTTAATAGAACAAACATACTCTCAGTTCATTGTCATGATAGAAACACAAGAAAGTGACGAGATCTCGTATCTCCGTAGCAATCCATTTGATCCTGAAGTAAGTGATCGAGATCCTTTTCCTTCTTTTGAAGCAGCAATTGCGTATGAAGACAAGAAAGAAAAGCAGGAAGAAGAAGAAGAGAATGATGCAGTTGTATTAGATTGGAGTATTGATACACTTGCAGAACTTTACCCCATGGTTTTCTCACCATTATCTCAACAGCTAAAGAATAACCGTAATAACACTATGAATACATCAAGCTCTGGAACTAGTAGCTTCTTTGATGATGAGAAACAGTGTGAGATACTACGAACACCACTGCCAGCAATACGATCGTCAAATGATCAAGTAGCAGCAAAAACGACAAGGAGAAAGACACTGACACTCATTGCATCCCCGTCTCCGCTAATGGAGTTGCATCGGCAACATAGAGTGGCAAGCTCTTGCATTGCATCTGGACAGCAAGAAAGACAAGAGAAAATGGACAAGAATCTGCCTTCTACAACACCAAAGCGACCGGTACGTCAACGGTCAACGCCATTGCAATCAGCTTCACCACTGCCAGGTAAGAGGAATCGACTTAGCACTGTTGTAACACCGAATAGTGAGTGGACGTCACCTTTTGTGGGACGACCCAAGTGGTCGGCATCACCTATTGCGACGTTGTGTACGATCCCTGCCACGTTGCAATGCGATTCAACAACACCGTCTTCACTGGTGACTACATCGACAAAAAAGACATCAAAGCAACGTTCAAAGATGCGGCTTTCGTTTGGACTCTCGCCCATAACTTTGCCACACCGGAAACAAACTTACGACCACGAGATTGGAAGCGATGGAGAACGGTGAGGAAAAGTCAACTTCTAGGGCACAGAACAATAAGGATACGGTATCACTAAGTTTGACGGAAGAGTCAAAGCGAGTTGGAGAAGAGTCTGCTTTTGCCGGGAACTGTTGTGAACAAACTGGTGTTGAGCGATCGATGTACCTGCAATGACTGCGATGTGACCTACATATCTTAGAAAAAGCATGCTAGATGATCTGGTATTAGCTCATGTTCCCTCCATGTATCGGTGACCATCCCCAGAGCTTTTCGACCAAAAATGAGGCAGACATGTGCACAAAGCAATACCAAGAGCGCTGCGTCATTTCTTGTAACAAGCTCTCTGGAACGAAGCCAGCCTTGTAAAGTGTGTTGCTGTAACTTTGGGAGATGCTTCTCCGATGGGTTATAGTCATGCGGTGAGCTTGAAACAATTTGATTGTTAAGACTCAAGATGGACCATTTACAGTCCAGAGATGAGGTTTCAATCTTTCATATGCGATTTGTGCTCACGCAGGTGCTGTACTGTGCCAAGATCATTCCGATGACTAGCAGCACTTGGACAGTGTCAAGCTCTCTAGTTTACATGATGATCCTGATAGAACCGGTGTTCGCGACTTCTGCTGCTCCTCAACTGCGGCATTACCGTGTGCTAGTCACGGGTCTTCATGAAAACGTGCTCTCTACACTATGCCTCGTCGATAGGAAAGCATCGTTACCAAGCACATGATTCGATTTCTGCTTACAAGCCGTCTTCTAAGGTTAATGACTTTGGACCTAACAGACCCTCTGATAGTTCAGTACAAGCGAGGTCCGTCGACGGTGGTTGTGCGGTTCTGGAGTTTATTATCAATTGCCTTGGCACAGACTTTGACAGGTCATTGGGACTCTTCTTGGAAATGCAGTAACCGTTGTGTGGTGACGTTGAGATGTGCAGCGTGTTCTCCTTTATGAGGCATCTGAAGTGGTGAGTCCACAAGCCGCACTAAGCCAAGACTAATACATTAATGGGCACATGTCTGTGTTTTGCTAGGTGCTTTGGTGGAGCATGGCGAATGGTAATCTGTTTGATGGGACGCTCTGCTGATGAAGCGACGTGGGATAACAGCCCTCAAATATAAATTACTATCAGTACAGGACAATCTGACCAAGTACTTGATCAAACACGGACAAGAAGCAGCATTGGCGTCGAACTCGAAGAATGACATTTGTTGCTTAACGGCATGTTTGTACCTGCGTTAGTGTTGTAAATTGAAAGTTCGAGTTATTTAGACGAGTCGCAATGCACACCGACGTCACAGGCAATTTAGCCGAAGCAATCAACACGTTCAAGTGCTAAAAGACACGTTGAGAAAAAGAAGATGGCCTATGTGTACTGGGTATTAGTTCAAGTGGGAGAGCATTAAGACCACTAAGACGCTGAAAAAAGGTTGTCTTCTATGTACCTGACTAGCTTTCGTCCCGATCACTTGTAAGCTGTTAGTAACCATTACTTGGCATAAGCACTGGATAAAAAGTGAACAATAAGGATTGGAATTTATTCTCGTTACGACACAATCGCTTCCATGGTGTCTGTTGAATGGATTTAAAGAAGAAGAAGTGTCGCTTCGTCTCTCTACAAGTGTAAATATATGTCGTAATGTATGAAATTGCTCTACCATTTACAAATACCATACAATGTCAGTCTACCAAATATGCTCTTTATCTCCACTTACTGCGAATCAATGACTGCCAATCAACTTAAGATCAAATAAATCTTAATACTAAAAACAAGTATGAAACGTGTCATACGTGACATCCTTTCCATCGCTCTACGTGGTCTAGATGACGATATTCTAGTGTTTCTTAGTGGTACAGTGGCTGACCAATTGACGGATGAAGTCCCTCGTGATATGGCGTCCCTTGAGAAGCTTTTAAATACAAGTGTGACCCCATTTCTGCTAGATGGAGGCTTTGCAGCCGACGAAGTGTCAGCGTCACGTACGTGTTCTTCTTTAGCTGCCAAGTTACTAGCAAATCCTGAAGTACAGAAAAAATTAGGATCTTGTACATATGAAGAAGACGTGCGTGTACTAGAGAATACACAAAGCATTGAGGAACAAGCACGCAAGGACGAAGGTATAGCCGATGCTGAGCAGTTGTTGGCACGTATGTGGGGTTTTGACAAGATCCGCAAGACTACAAACGATGATCTGGAGGCACAAAAATCCGCGCTTTCTTCTCGTCAGGTTCGTAAACAGATCAAGCTGGAGCAGCTGACAGTGGAGCAGGCTGAGGAGCAAGCTGAACTGGACCGCCAGTGGGAGGATGCTCGCTTTTTGCCAGATTTGACACAGGATAACGGGGAAAAGGACATTCACGTGCCACGTCTTACCATCAACTTTAAGGGAAAGACGCTATTGTCGGACACGGCGCTCAAGATTGTAGCTGGTCGTCGTTACGGTCTCGTGGGCAAGAATGGTGCTGGCAAGACGACGCTTCTCAGATATATCTCGCACTACGAGCTGGAAGGGTTTCCAAGGCACATTCGCATGCAGTTGGTCGAGCAGGAGTCGGCTTCCAAACTTAGCAAGGAGGAGCGTAGTGTACTGGACGTGGTACTGGCGGCAGACTACGAGCGCACGATGCTGTTGCAAGAGGAGAAGGAGCTCTCGGCAAAGGAAGCAAATGAGGGGGGAGGACCACAGTATGCGGCTAAAAGAGATTTACGATCGACTTGCAAACATTGACTCCGATACGGCCGAGTCCAGAGCGCGCACCATTTTGAGCGGACTGCAGTTTCCTGACCACGTGGTGGATGGATCTGCAAAGGCGCTTTCCGGTGGGTGGCGGATGCGAACGGCACTTGCTGGTGCTCTGTTCATGGCGCCTGATCTGCTGCTGCTGGATGAGCCGACAAACCATTTGGATCTTGAAGCGGTGATTTGGCTGGAACATTACCTAGAAAAGTATGACAAGCAAATGATTGTGGTATCGCACGATCGCAACTTTTTGAACGCCGTGACCACTGATATCATCAACTTGACACAGCAGAAGCTTATGTACTACAAGGGCGATTACAATACATTCGAGAACACGATGAAAGAGAACTTGCGTCAGCAGCGCAAGGCCTATGATGCCCAGCAGATGAAGATACAACACATGCAAGAGTTTATCGAACGCTTTCGGGCGAATGCCAAGAAAGCTCCGCTAGTACAATCGCGTGTCAAAGCACTCGACAAAATTTTGCGCAACGAACTAATCAACGAGCCCGAGGACGAGCGTGCGTTTCGGATGCATTTTCCACCTCCCGAACCGCTTGGTCGACCTATTATTGCCGTCGAAGGCGTTGGTTTCCGGTATACACCAGAGTCGCCCTTGCTTTTTCAAGACGTGCACATGGGTATTGACATGTCCAGTCGCATTGGTATTCTTGGTGTGAATGGTTCAGGAAAGTCAACACTTATTAACATTATGATTGGCAAGCTGCGTACAAATGAAGGCTCGGTGACATTGAACCCACGCCTACGTGTAGCTACATTTACTCAGCATCACGTTGACTCTTTGGATTTATCCAAATCTGCTGTACAGAACATGAAGGAAATGTTTCCAGGTCACGAATCGGATGAATTCCGTTCACATCTTGGACGGTTTAATCTTTCAGGTGAATTGGCCATCAAACCCACACGAACCTTATCAGGTGGACAAAAGTCTCGTGTTGGGTTTGCACTCATGACATGGCGTTTACCACACGTTGTGGTACTTGATGAACCAACGAATCATTTGGATATGGAGACTATTGATGCACTGATTGATGCTTTACGTGAGTACAAGGGTGGGGTTGTAATTGTTTCACATGATCAGCACTTTGTCACTAGTGTCTGTGAAGAGCTATGGGTCGTGGGTGATCAAAAAGTTGTACGATTCCATGGTACAATGAGTGAGTACAAGAATCACGTGTTGGGAGAAAAAAAGAAGTGAGTAGAGAGAGGATAAAAAGGATGTGTATACATGCTAATTAAACAAGAGGTTGTATACCCTGCTACGACAAGTACATTTTAAATCCGAATAAACTTGAACAGTACGTTTTAAGAGTACGAAATGATTTTGTGTTACTTTTAATTTTTTATTCTTCACAAGAGAGAGATTCAATCTTTTTTTCAAAATCTAGTATAACGACGACTACTACGACGACGACGACTACTACTACTTCAGACAGAACCTTACATGGCAAGTCTTGGTCACTTCATGCATCATCATCATCCATCTACTTCATATGTGGAATCACAGCAAGAGATTGAAAATGAACGTGCTACTTTTCATGCAGCACCAGCTACACACGTACACCGTGAACGTGCAGAGACAGCTCCAACACCACAATTAGATCACTCTTATCATTACCATACAAACAATCCACCTCTTCCAGTCTCCAATGCACGTCTTTCACGCTTTTCTCGTCATTTCTTTGACCGTAAAAGTGGTCGTTCATCCTCTTCTTCTTCTTCCTCTTCTTCTTCGGATAGAGACGACGTTGAGTCAACACGTAAGAGATACGAGGAGATCTCTAGTGTGTTGTGTGTGGGGGTGACTTGAATGTAACATGGCTACATTTTTATAATCCTAATAATGGATTGTATTGAAATGATTGTAGCAAATGTCATGACATCTACGAGTTTCTTTCGACCACGGACAATGGATGGATATACACGATATCTTGAGTACGTGATAAAGATTACTAGAGACATCTTACATGTACATTATGAATTGACCATCTCTCTCTTTCTCTTTCTCTCTGTGTGTGTGTCTTGTCTGTTTGTCTTTTGATGTTAGAGCTGCTTTTTTTGGATGGATATTTAGAAAAACAGAGCTCAGAGGATCCTAAATTATGGAAAAAGAGATGGTTTGTCATGCAAGACAGCAAACTCTTTTATTATAAATTACATAGTCACGTGACAGAACAAAAACCAACGGATCAAGCATGTTGTGGTGTCATCTCGATGGAAAATATTGACTCGGTTACAACAGCGGTAGGATTCTCTATGGCTTTTTCTTTGCTATGTTGTTGTTGTTTATCTTACTGTAGGGAGGAGGATACTGCCTTTGTTGTTTTTCGTCATGGATGCTCTTCTCTCTAAGCTGGCGTTGTCTTTTACTAACTTGCGCTTGGAATGACGTTCTCGTATGTCCGTTGTGCTCGTGTAGAAGGACTTTGGCGCTGCTGCGTTTCAGATCCGCATGGAAAGTCGGCGCTATGTTTTACGTGCTGCGTCGAAAGACATGGTATGAACGTTGAGCTGGGAGAATTGAGCAGTTGCTTTTGGTTGCAAGCTAACGTTTTTTTGTGGTAGATGCACGAATGGCTCTTTAATTTTCAGAAATCAATTGCAAGTATAGTGTCGGCTCTGTCGCGAACGCAGGTACGTTATTTGACGCAACTGAATGTGAAATAGTACTTGATAATGTCATAATGCTCATTACAATATTTCAGGCGGAATGTCGACCGAATCGACCTTGTAATAGTCTGTCTCGAAGAGTACGTATATTGATATCTGGGCACACTATCTGACACTTGTGTGTGACGGATGAAATCAATGCAAAATGTAATCTCTTTTGACTTAATATGTCTGTTTTTTTCGTGTGGGACTTGTAGCAAAGCATGTCCCGCGTAAATCGAAGTGTATCATTCGACCACCAGGACTACATGGACCAATTTCCAATTGCAGCCTCCGTCGATGATTTTTATCGTGGCCGCGCAAGTGGTGCATTCTTTGCGTCAACGAGCTTTTCAGACGATTCGACTGGTGGCGATGGTTCCTTGTCGTCTCGAGCTAGTCCTCGGCGAGTGACTAGTCCATTGGCATATGGTGGGCTTGGACCGCGAAGTCCATTAATGTTTGCTCTGGATCCGATGGATGACGTACCCGAGCACCAAACGCCCCCAATACGGCGAAGCTCGATCGTCGAATTGGAAGAAGAGAGCTTCAATCACGAAGACGGAGACGATAAAGTTGCAGAAACAACGTCTGAACCGGTGATGGTACCAACGTCATCACCTCCAAGTGCATCAGGCAAGCATATTCCAAGGCATTATCGAAACGGCAGTGCTGCAGAGCCGGCTTCACAATCATCTCTGCCGGTTTATTTGTCTTCCCCCACCGGAGCCAGCACCGGCTCCAACTGCTGGTCGTTGGGTGCCCCGTCACCAAAGAGAAGGCTTTGCTGAGATGCAGCCTATTGAGTCATTCTCTATCAAGCCAAAAGACACTTTTCATGAAAATTTCATCGAAGACAGCTCAAGCTATTCTACCGGTGATGAAGTTCACGGGGTTACGTCGCTGTTAGGGGTGCGGTCTGCAATGGAGGATGTTTGTTGTTGCATTCCAGACCTTAACGCACAGTTGAAGTCCGACCAACCTCATCAGCAAAAGCAGTCGTTTTACGCTGTATTTGATGGCCACAGTGGCGTAAGGGTGAGTTGACATAAATCCATTCTTTTCATCCGTGTTTACTTATCGTATATTTGTTTATACTTTTGCAGGCTGCGACATTTTCTAACCAACGACTCGTGCCTTATTTGACTTCACATGAAGCCTTTAATGTCGACACCCGTCTAGCCTTTGAGGAATGCTTTGCGCAAATTGACAAGGAGTTTTTACAAAAGGCTGAAGAGGAGGTATAGACTGTTAAATCTGTTGACTACATGGACGAGTAACCTATTATGGCAGGTCACAATGCTAATCTCCTGGATTTGCTGTGTATAGAGTTTGGATGACGGCACCACCGCAGCGGTGGTATTGATTCGGGGAAATCGCCTTATTACTGCGAACATAGGAGACAGCAGAGCGGTTGTGAGCATTGGTGGTCAAGCACTGGATATTATTGAAGAGCAGACACCTGGACGTGCAGATGAGCGGAAGAGGATCGAAAATCAAGGAGGTTGGGTGAATGAAGAGCGTGAGCTGCAGTTGTCCAAGCTACATTCGATGGATCTAAGTGACCCAGAAATTCAACAGAAAGCCGAACGAGTAGTGAAATGGGTAACAATCTACCGAGTAAACGGCGAGCTTGCTGTCTCTCGCGCCATTGGTGATAATGACTATAAGGGTAAAGCATTATCAAAATACGAGTATTGGGCGTTTCCTGAGGGACACGACCGCGTATTTCATGGTGATTTGGTCATATCAATTCCCGAGTGTCAGGTATGATGAATGATAGATTGAAGCTGGTAGCTTACGAAAAATGACTGATGGTCTGTTTGTACATTACAGGAAATCGAAATTACACCCGAATTTGACTTTCTCATTCTTGCGTGTGACGGGCTGTGGGACACAATCAGGAGCAAGGAGGCTGTAAAATTTGTCGCCGACAGGCTGAACGAAGGTTACTCGGCCACGGTACGTTTCAGAGTAAAGTAACATGCTTCAGCTGAATAAATTTCTGAAATGGTGTTCTCTTTGCTGCTGTCGTTCTGCAGCAAGCGAGCCATTCCCTGGCAAACTTGGCGATCCGGTCAGGCTCGTCCGACAATGTTTCTGTCGTTATTGTACTGCTTAACACCGAGCAAACGCCCAGCTCAATAGATGCATCTTCAACGCAGTAATTCGCCTTATTTGAGAACAAAGCGCGAGGCCAGAGACGTTTTGTATCTGGGCACCCATGTGTAACATGATCAAGTAAAGGAAAGAAATGTCCTGTATGATGTGCTCGCAGAGAAAACTAAGTGTTATGTATACGTTATCTGTTTCTGATCCGACGAGTTGTGCCGCTTGCGAATGAAAGTTTCTCTACTTTTCGATAGATGCAACGATGTCTACATGGCAAGCAATTAGTAACAACTCATTCAACCAAGATCTTCCTAGCTACGTTCATACCTTGCACAATTTTATTAAACGCCGTAGCCGCGACGGAATCAGGGTACTCGTCAAGAAACGACACACCCTCTTCGCATGCGTCTGTCATCTTGTTGTCAAGCGGTAGACGTCCGAGAAAGGGAACATTGAACTTGTTGGCCATTGCCTCACCACCTCCGTTGGACGCAGGAAATACCTCCATTTGCACCGAGTGCTGTAGCAGCTCTGGCGCCTTCTCTTGCAGCAGCTTCATAGTATACACAAACAGCAATTGCAGCAGCAGTCAGATTCCACATCACTAAACACACACACCATTTTTCCATGGACTTATTCGTCTCACCTTGATAAACATCTCTGTCTGGTCAATGCCGTCACCACTTACAAATTTGACGTCACTCAGTAGCTGTTGTATACTGCTCATATTCTCAACAACGCCTAGCACATTAATATTAGTCTTGCGACAAAAGTTAAGCTCCTTTCGGACATCACTGAGTGCCACTTCCTGGGGAGTCGTGATCACCACAGCACCATCTAAGTCAGCCTCTTTCATGTACTGGACAATACTTATGTGCTCATCCGATGTACCAGGCGGTGTATCAATAATAAGGTAATCAAGCTCTCCCCACTGGACGTCCACAAGAAACTGTTTAATAATGCCGCTCTTCTTAGGTCCACGCCAAATGATTGCATCATCAGCATTAGGCAGCATAAAGCCAATCGACATGACACCAAGATTGTCATCGACGTAGACGGGTGACCACCCAGCTGCGCTCTGATGTACTTCTTGACCTAGTAATCCAAGCATTCGTGGCACACTTGGACCTGTAATATCAACGTCCAATAGTCCTACCTGAAACCCTTTACCAGCCAATGCAAAGGCCAATTGACACGCGATTGTGCTCTTTCCTACACCGCCTTTGCCTGATAATACCAATACTTTATGCTTGACATTAGCAAGTCGCTGCTTTACGTCTGAGACTGCTGGATCCGGTTGGCGTGCGGCACCTGATGCACATAAACTCTGATTTGGACATCCAGCGCATCCTTCAGCCTTTCCTGCTTCTTCGGATTGTGGACCCACACATGAATCATTGGCATTGGCAGGAGCGGTGGAGGTCATGCCGACGAGCTATTTACTTTAACTTTATATTGTTTTTATTCTTGTATTGAAATGTTACATTAGTAGACTCAAAATTGCTGCGTATATGATGGACGAATTGTTGTGAACAAAAGGTTTCGTCACATTTCAGTTTTCCTAACCGAAAAAAGACATTTTCTCGACTTATGGCAACTTAAGGTCGTTCATGTATCAAATTTATAACTTGACATTTATTGAATCTAGCTTATTGTTTGTCTCGAAGTCAAGTATATATATATATATTGTTGCTGGTGACAAGCAGCAAGCGTTCCAGTGATGATGGACCAAAGAAAAACTACTTCTTATTGTCGCTCATAATGTATGTGACAACAATTATTTTGCAACGGAATAGAAGTGCTTGACCCGCACTTGACAATATTGAAGCTTGTGTTGCGGAGAGGCATCACAATACTAAAATTGCTACGAAAGACCAGTGTCACGTCGGCGATGAAACTTTCCACCCAAACGACTACCTTAAGCGGAGTTGGCCAAAATATATCACATGCATTTGAAAGTCACCGCTGCAGTTTTGTAGGAATGGAATTCTTAGTTTAAAAGAATTTGTTTAGCATACTTCTGAAGGAATGTAACAATGCTGTTGGCCAAAGTTAATCACAAAATCTCTAATACTTGGTGCAGGTAGACCAATTTGTATAGATTTCGAGGTTCAGTCCGGTAGTGTAGCAGAGCTGCCGTAGCAAATTTACTTATGCGCTTAGTGCAGAGGAAGACAAGCTGTAGCATGCGACTGTAGCAAAGCTACTTATGCACTAGGTGCAAAGGAAGACAAGCTCAAAGAGCTTATACATCTTAGGGTTCTTAGCCCTTCCAAGGCTAGTGTGGTGGAGTGGGTTCTCAAACCTGCGTAATGAGACCCCCTAGCCACTCACTGTGCCGGACTGCCGACTATCGGAGGGGGAACCCCGATGCCGCGTATAGACCTTCTCTCACCTTGTGTACCCGTCGGCTAGCGGGTTGCACTCTTCGGAAGACTTGGTTGAGATGCGATGTCAGCCTTAAGAGAGGTCGACCTTGGGGTGCCTCGAGTGGATATACTTCACTCGGTAGGCAGGTAGGTGGCCACTCGGTCGACTAGGCCGAGGGTGGGCTTATAACTAGATTCTTCAGGGGGGATTCTCAACCCTGGTCTTTTCCTTCCTTTTTCTTTATATCTCAGGAGCTTTAACCACCTGGTCTTTACTTGCTCCCGAACCACTAGGTTAGGGAGACCGCTTCCGATAGCGGGTAGATTGGGGGTGCTACTCAGACGAACCCACAGGCCATATATATCCTGGGGATATATTCACGCTTGGGCTTACCACACAACTGCCTTCGACGGGGGGGCCAAATTGTATCCCTTCCCGGAACGGGTGGGTAGACTTAGTAAGTTCCTTGAGAGCAAGACAGAGGCGTGCTATGTAGATCGCAAATTGAGTAGTATTTTGTATAGTCCTATCTTTTAACTTCTTTACTCTATCTTTACCCCCGAGACCTGATTCTTGATTCTGCTTGGCTAGGGTATCTGGACCTCTGGACCGATGTCGACCTCAGGGACCAGGGCCAAGAGTCCATTGACCGAAGGACCAAGGTCTATCGACCAAGGACAGAGGTCCATTGATGGAGGACCAAGGTCAGTCTTCAGGGACCGGGGCCGAGGGTCCATCGGCCAAAGATCGAGATTTGCTTTTGTGAAAGACCGAGGTCTACCAATGATAATGCCCGGGTCGACCTTGAAGGACCGGGGTCCACCTTGAGGAACCGCGGTCCATCGGGCTAACCGCGGTTTATTACGCTGAACGGCGGCTAACTAGCACGCTTTGATCGTGAATTCTTCTCATCCAACGGTCGTTTCCCGTCCCCTTTAGCGCCCGTCTCTCTGTCCCTTACCCAACGGTTGCTCCTCCTTGGCAAGTCCCTTTCTCTATGACCCACTGGTCCTCTGGCCTCCCAGTTCTTGAAACGCTTCACCACAGCCGCCCTCTGCACTTGGTCAACGGTACAACCGCTTGATCACGCGCATGTCTTTGACTTCTGCATCCCGTAGGTACTCCTAGCTTTTTGGCGTTCGATATCTGTTATCTGACTTGATGTGACTTTAGCTGTTCCTTTCTCTGGGGTAGACCCACCACCTGAGGAGCCGGTCTTGGTCACTCCTGACTCGCTACTAACCCAGAGGCCCAGTTTCCCTCCCTACTGCCGATCGGCACTTTTTTCTCCGGGTGCCAGGACCAAGGGAGTCCACGACGGTTTCTTCTGAAGCCGTAGGTGATGAGAGTCCACCAGTCGTGGATGGCCCTCGGTCTACCTCCAGCTCCTCTGCTGTGGTGGACCCCGTGAGGCCGGTCACTTGTGTCCCGCCCATTGCCCCGTCGAGTGATTTTCCGGCTACGATGGGTGGACCCGTGGAAGTGCATCAGATGTTGCGCGACCTACAGGTCCGCCTAAGCGCGTATGGCCGCAGACTTGAGGCGTGAGAGGGTCGACAAACTCCCGTCCCCTCCCCCGACGCCTACTGGACCGCCAGGTGTGAGCGCCTCGAGAGAGAGCTGCTAGACACCAAAAACCTTGTGATCCAGTTACGAGAGAGGCTCCAGCATGAGAGAGCGCTGGTGGATCACTTGCGATGGCGAATTGACTACCACCAGAGCCGATACCCTCTGGGGGGGGGTGGGGTTTGCCACAAATCCACTCAAGGACCCCGTGGTTCCTCCCGTGACTACCTCCACAGTGCATACTACACCGGTGTCAGGCAAGCGACCTCGGCGTCCATCGGCTAAGACGACCGCCAAGGTCTCCAAGGCTACCAAGTTGAGTACAACCAGCACTCCCGCTTCGTCTCTCAATTCGGGGACCTCCCGTAATCTACCTTAGGCTCCTTTACCTGATCCGGACGACGACACGGCAAGCGACGACAGCGAGGTGAGGTGACCTACACTTCCAAAGGGTGACTTCATCCCTGAATAGATGCAGGTGAAATCATTCACTGCAGCGGAGGTGGCGCCTTGGTCGGTCGACATGGTCAACTTGTTGAGTATAACCCCTAGCAATTTTGTCGACTGCTTGGAGCTGCCTTCGGGCTGCTTCGGCCCTCCACCGGAGGTGCATATGGGCGATGGAGGCGTACCAGGAGGTCAATTTGACACCGAGGCTCTGCGAGAGAACGTTTCATTGCTGCGAAGCGATCAAGGGTCTCTGAGCGATAACGCTCAAAAGAGTGACAGTGTCGATCGACACGGTCATCAGAGACGACAGGTGTGACGTCACCAACCCAAGAGCATCGCGCTCCAAGATCGTCAGCAACGTTTGACTCAAAGCGATCTGGTGGGTGATCATGGACCGACGGATCACTGATCTCTGCTGACGCTGATTGATGAGCTGGGTCAGCAACAGTCTCACGCTGAGCGCCTCTTGACGCGACGTCTTCACCAGGGTAATACCCAGTACCAGGTGAAATGGTGGGATCGCCCACATCGTGGGAGTACGAGGCAAGATGCCCGGACGTCGCTGACGTATTTGACCGGGACGATCAGAACTGGCGACAGCAGTCTCCGGACGCTTCCTCGCACTAGGTGCTGTTGAAGCAAGGTCAATAGGCGGGCTTCGCGATTGTACTATCTTTTGGATACGACTGGTTGGATATACCGCATATCTTATCAGATAGGAAGGCATAGTCATAGGTTTTTGACTTTAGATTGGTTAATATAATACAGCGTTCAAGTTATACACCAGTACACGCGTCGCCTTCTTTTCCGGGTGGGTCCTCCCTCGACGTCTAGAGACTCCGCGCGCGTTCGACTCAGATTGACCCTGGATAGTTTGGCCAGGGTCACGAACTCTCAACACACAAGACCATGCGATTGGACGCAGCAACAACATCAAGGAAAGATTCTACAGAAGGCTGAAGTGGTCAGAAGATCTACATATCAGGACACGTGTGATCCAAGGGTGGATCGCGTTAGCTGTTTGCTAGTCTGGCCACCAAGTACTACCGTGCAGTTTCTGTGGTATACGAGATCAAACTACGTCCACGTTTTATTGGGTCTTTCACGATCGTAAGAAACAAAGGCTTTGCCTATACGCTTAACCTTCCCAAGAAGATGCGTAAACACCCTGTGTTCTATGTTGGCTTACTCAAGCCGTACCTTAACCCGTCCTCGGTGGACTTCGAGGGGTTTTACCCATTACCCCGGCCAAAGGAGGCGGATAATACGGCACCGGAGGTGCATATGGGCGATGGAGGCGTACCAGGAGGTCAATTTGACACCGAGGCTCGGCGAGAGAACGTTTCATTGCTGCGAAGCGATCAAGGGTCTCTGAGCGATAACGCTCAAAAGAGTGACAGTGTCGATCGACACGGTCATCAGAGACGACAGGTGTGACGTCACCAACCCAAGAGCATCGCGCTCCAAGATCGTCAGCAACGTTTGACTCAAAGCGATCTGGTGGGTGATCATGGACCGACGGATCACTGATCTCTGCTGACGCTGATTGATGAGCTGGGTCAGCAACAGTCTCACGCTGAGCGCCTCTTGACGCGACGTCTTCACCAGGGTAATACCCAGTACCAGGTGAAATGGTGGGATCGCCCACATCGTGGGAGTACGAGGCAAGATGCCCGGACGTCGCTGACGTATTTGACCGGGACGATCAGAACTGGCGACAGCAGTCTCCGGACGCTTCCTCGCACTAGGTGCTGTTGAAGCAAGGTCAATAGGCGGGCTTCGCGATTGTACTATCTTTTGGATACGACTGGTTGGATATACCGCATATCTTATCAGATAGGAAGGCATAGTCATAGGTTTTTGACTTTAGATTGGTTAATATAATACAGCGTTCAAGTTATACACCAGTACACGCGTCGCCTTCTTTTCCGGGTGGGTCCTCCCTCGACGTCTAGAGACTCCGCGCGCGTTCGACTCAGATTGACCCTGGATAGTTTGGCCAGGGTCACGAACTCTCAACACACAAGACCATGCGATTGGACGCAGCAACAACATCAAGGAAAGATTCTACAGAAGGCTGAAGTGGTCAGAAGATCTACATATCAGGACACGTGTGATCCAAGGGTGGATCGCGTTAGCTGTTTGCTAGTCTGGCCACCAAGTACTACCGTGCAGTTTCTGTGGTATACGAGATCAAACTACGTCCACGTTTTATTGGGTCTTTCACGATCGTAAGAAACAAAGGCTTTGCCTATACGCTTAACCTTCCCAAGAAGATGCGTAAACACCCTGTGTTCTATGTTGGCTTACTCAAGCCGTACCTTAACCCGTCCTCGGTGGACTTCGAGGGGTTTTACCCATTACCCCGGCCAAAGGAGGCGGATAATACGGCACCGGAGGTGCATATGGGCGATGGAGGCGTACCAGGAGGTCAATTTGACACCGAGGCTCTGCGAGAGAACGTTTCATTGCTGCGAAGCGATCAAGGGTCTCTGAGCGATAACGCTCAAAAGAGTGACAGTGTCGATCGACACGGTCATCAGAGACGACAGGGGGGGGGTCACCAACCCAAAAGCATCGCGCTCCAAGATCGTCAGCAACGTTTGACTCAAAGCGATCTGGTGGGTGATCATGGACCGACGGATCACTGATCTCTGCTGACGCTGATTGATGAGCTGGGTCAGCAACAGTCTCACGCTGAGCGCCTCTTGACGCGACGTCTTCACCAGGGTAATACCCAGTACCAGGTGAAATGGTGGGATCGCCCACATCGTGGGAGTACGAGGCAAGATGCCCGGACGTCGCTGACGTATTTGACCGGGACGATCAGAACTGGCGACAGCAGTCTCCGGACGCTTCCTCGCACTAGGTGCTGTTGAAGCAAGGTCAATAGGCGGGCTTCGCGATTGTACTATCTTTTGGATACGACTGGTTGGATATACCGCATATCTTATCAGATAGGAAGGCATAGTCATAGGTTTTTGACTTTAGATTGGTTAATATAATACAGCGTTCAAGTTATACACCAGTACACGCGTCGCCTTCTTTTCCGGGTGGGTCCTCCCTCGACGTCTAGAGACTCCGCGCGCGTTCGACTCAGATTGACCCTGGATAGTTTGGCCAGGGTCACGAACTCTCAACACAAAAAAGCGCTTTTGCTTTCTAGCAGAGGTGGGTTCATGACTCTCCAGAGCCCTACCAGGAGCATTGCGCGTTGCGCCTAAGGTCTTCGACCTCCAATTAATCCATGGATCTCGACGTTCTAGCCGTGCCATGCCTAGGATGAGGTCATACCTCGCATGACCAGGGCTAAGACCAAACAGCGTTCCATGCAGTTAAAGTCCAAGAACTTTACATTCAAGTCTATTGGGACTTTGGGTACCGTAACACGCGTACCCGTCGCTAAGCAAAATGTCACTGTGTCATTCTTACGCGCTACAAGAGCTTCAGCATACTACTGAGTACTTTCCGCGGTGGCACGGCGCACATAATTGCCCGATGCCTTCGAATCGATTAAAATGATCCATGGCTTATCATAGCACTTAACCGTCCCTTCGACGACTAGCAAGCCTGGCTTGCATTCTCGTTCCGTTTTTGATAGTTCGGATCTCATTGGGTCTGGGCCCTGTTTACTTCTACCTCCTAGAGGTTCAACAGAACTCAGTTTTCCCTTGTAGGGCGCCCGCGCCTACTGGATTACGCCGTTTCCCCGCGGCAAACCAGAAGATTTACCCATGTTGCGTCGGCCCTTCGAGGCCAAATATGCCTTTCTTGCAGGGCATTTTGCCATCAAATGGCCTGTACTCATGCAGATATAACTTCTGCGCACAATTTGCTACTCCGCAGCTTGAAGCTCTTATTCTTCATCCTCCACTTGACTACAGTCCATGGAGACAGACCCATCAGACGAGTAGTTATAAGTGGCAGGCCTAGCGGCCTTGAAGTTGGTCTCGGCATTCCATGCCACTCCAACAGCTTCCTCGAATGAGGACGGGTTTACCCGGAAGGCTTCCGTTCTGGCAACGCAACTCGGAAGCCCTCCATGAAGACCGTGACGGTCACTGCCTCGGGCATAGGGTCTATGACCATGGCAGCAATGAGAGTTCTCAACTCTTGTACATATGCCGCAAGCTCACTCTTGCCTTGGCGACACGCCAACAATCGCGACGAATTACGGGGTGCTTGGTTTGGCGGTGCAGACGACCGGGTCATCTGAACTTTCAGATCGGCCCATGTGGCATCTTGCAATGATGCACCACATGTAAATGCCCACTGTTTGGCTAAGCCACCTAACTTGCCCGTGGCAAAGCCCACACGGTACGGTTCATAGGTGATGTCGGCTATAAACATATCCGACACAACCTGTCGAAACCAAAGCATAAGGTTGTCACCTTCTTTGCCGTCAAACTTATCGACTTCCATTTGTATGGGGTTTGGTCTGCGGACCACTCCTTGCGCCATAGTTGCCTTGGGCGAAGGCGCAGAAGAAAACATCTGTGCCTTTACATGCTCGACTAGGTTCAAGCATAGATGAATACGCTTGTTATCCTTTTCTTCGCATTGGGCAATGATGTACTTCACGCCCTTAGGGCCAAGGATAGGGAGCAGCTTCTGCAACCCTTCCTGTTGTGCCTGTGACAGGCCAACCGCTGACATCTCATCGATGTCCATTATCACACAGAGAAGTAGTCGCAAACCCAGGTGCGAGATTGACTACAAATGCTACCAGGTGTAGCCGAGCTACTGTAGCTATGCTACTTATGCACTATGTGCAGATGCACTATGTGCAGAAAAAGTAGTCAAACTACTGTCGCAAAGCTATGTATGCACTATGTGCAGAGGAAGACAAGCTCAGAGAGCTTCTACGTATTAGGATGTTTAACCCTCCTAGGCTAGCTCGTAAGCTTGTGCCTATCGGTATTAACAACCGAGTCTCAGAGAGACTAGTATCAAAGATACTGATTCCTATACGGAATAGAACGCTCTAGCAACTAGTGCTATACAGAGCAGGTTTGAAACGGATTTATATTTATGTTTATCTTCTAACACTAAATATAGAAGCACCTACCCTATACTTAGTACTAGTCACTATTACTGGCTCTTTAGCCTTTTATTATTATGCAAATATGCATAGTCACTATATTTTAAATAAGTATAGTGACCGCCACGATGTGACCCTTCGTACTTCAGGTACTCACATCACCTACTTTGCACCCAAGGTACAGCCACACCACATTGGTGTGGCAGGTGTGTATGTAAAATGCACACCTTCGTGTAACCCCGTGTACAGTCTGCGAAGGTGCTGGTCAGAGCGGCACACTGACATCTTCCAGCAGCTCCATACAGGGTACAAGTGGGACCAGTGCGGCAATAAATAGAAGTGCGCTACCCGTAAGTCAATAGAAGAAGTTGAGCAATGTCTTACTCAAAAGTATTGCAAATATGTATCTATGTAGTTAATAATACCAACTCAGAGCTGGAAACAAGCATTGAAGCCTTTAAGTTTTTTTCAACTATCAGGTGACTTTGTCGCGATTACTTCTTTATACAAGCTAGAATAACGTTTTCAGGAATGCCCCCGTGTCGTCTTTTTCTTTTCTTGATACTGCTTTAACTAGCATTCGGCGGATTCTTCTGCAAGGCATTATCATGTATTAATGATGTGGTCGAAAGTCATCTCTGCTCTTGTCTCGTCTTCGCTCCTGGTTGGACCAGTTGCTGGTATAGTCGGAGGCAAAGCAGCTCCGCGGAGATCAAAAACGTACATGGCTAGCATTCGTAACCCAATGGGCTTTGACAACGAATTCGATAGTAGCCACTATTGTGGGGGCGTTCTTATCACGCACAGGCATGTCCGGACAACGGCATCGTGCCGTATAACGAGTGATCATGCGTATGTGTCTGTTAATGCACATTTTAATGAAGGTAATGAAGGTGAGGAGATAAAGATCGTAAAAGTCACCAAACACCCGAGCTCTGATAACGATTATCACGCAATTGACTTTGCTGTGTTAACGCTAGCAAAGCGTAGCAAGTACGCACCAATAAAGCTTGCGGTCTGACGATTCGGATATTCAAACTGGTATGTAAGCACTGACATTGGGTTACGGTGTTGTTAACTCTATCTCTACGGACCCCAGAACTGAGCTGCAACAACTGCGTCAGCAGGTGATTACCAATGAGGCGTGTCGTAAGGCGTTCATGAATTTCAAGGAGTTTCGTAATCATTTTGAACCTACCAGTTTGTCTGAGGTAGTGTGAAAGGCAAAACTGTATGCATGGGGACTTGGGTAGTCTCTTAATTAAGACAAACTTTAAGAGAGACAGCGATAATGACAACGGCAGCTATGATGATGCCACAGACAGCTATGATGATGCCAAAGACAGCTATGATGATGCCAAAGACAGCGGTGATGTTCTAATTGGGCTGCTGACCTACAGTGCAGACGTTGATTGTGGTACCAAGGGACTCCCCCACCAAGTACACACGCGTGTCGTACGCGGTAGAGTGGATCAACTCTGTCACTCAAGCCAAAATGACTTTGATGATATATAAAGGGGTCTTGAAGTTAAGATGGCGCTTGTTCAAGGCTATTTTTCCAAATTGAACTCCCGTTTTTGAATATTCTTTGCACTTAACTGTCTTTTGAAGAGACTAGCATGATGCGATTAGGAATGTCGAATTGAACTAGTAGTAAATAGCCTATATAGTAGACAAAAGAAGTGTGAACCGAAGGCTCTAATGCTCCCTCCTAGCAAATGCTCAACCTTAGCCTACTTAAATCCAGCCGTCCTCCTCCACAATAAACTCGAGACGCACCAGATCCTTTACCTCGTCAGGCGTGAACAGCACCTCGCCAAAGTTTACGCAACAGTTGATCACGTCGCACAGCTTGGCAAACTTCGTGCTAGACGGCACGTTCAATTCCTCATCCTCTTCTGCCTCCATCTCAGGCTCCTCCTCAACCACGCTCTCACTCAAAGATCGGTGGAGTGCCGAACTGTGCAATCTCCGACGTCCTCTTGACTGCTGGTTGTCACTATCACTATCACTGCCCTCCGTCACGGCACAGTTGTTGCGCGATAACGGAGCTTCAACGTCCTTGCCTTTAACACCTAGAGCAGCAGCAGCCTGTGCCGTCGTCACCTCCTCTAATGTCCAGTCGTGCAAAGCCAATCGGCGCCACATGCGGATCTCCCCATTTGAAATGTTCACAACGTTGCCATGCTTGGTCCGCGTGCCGTGAAGGAAAGCCAAAGAGCGTTCAAGGAACTCCTGTACTTTCGTCGTGGTTGGCCGCTGGTCATGGGCTGCAAACTTGCATACGCGCACCAACACATCATCGTAACTTTCCAGTGCCGTGTACGCACCCGCCGCGCCGTCGTTTGCGTCGAATGGAATAACTTTGAGTTTCAGACTAAAACGTGTGCGCTTCGCAACCCCAGGCGCCAATACCTCTTCAAGAGAGACTGGCGAATGCTCCTTCGATTCCGAAAGTGAGCGACGATGAAGTTCTGCTGCTTTGGCTTTCTCGGCAGCTAAAGCAAATTTTCGCGCCTCCGAACTGCGCGAAAAACTTGCGCGATCCTTCTGCAGATCCAAATCAACACTACCACGTCCACCGATAAGACGCGCCTGAATCGGTAACTTGCGCCAAATTTTTGAAATAAGGTGTGTCGGTGCCTGTTCCATGAAGTCCATACTCTGAGAGCGACGATCCAGTCCAGGTGTCCGTTTCGTATCTTCATAGTCATCTTCACTATCTGAATCCCATGTAGATGCATGAGGTCTCATTTCTTCCTGTTCATCCATCGAGTACGACATACGTTTGGTGCATTCCTGTTCCTGTCTTTCCGTCTCTTCCATTTCTCTTTTCTTCTCCTTTCTCGCAGCCGATGAGAATGACAGTGACATCACGCGTTGCTTCTTTCCTCTTGTCTTTTTAGGTGAATAAACAATTGAACCTGTACCTGAACCAAATGTACTAGTACAAGTAGCAACACTGTTACTTGGTGCTGTAAGATTGGACAAAGCACTGGAACTTGATTGATACGATCGAGGAGCCATTTTAACCGAGCTAAAACTCGTCAAATTGCACTTTGCAGTACACAATTCAGTCTTCTGTCCTTGACCATTCGTTTCTTCAGAATACAATGTCCCAGTAGCACTTGTACCAGATTGTAATGCTATTTGCTGCTCATGTCCACTACTTTTCTTCCATTGACTGTGATTATCATTATTATTATTATTATTGTTGTTGCTGTTGTCCATACACTCAAGTACTTGATCTTCATTAGCACTAATCCTTCGGTGTACAAGTTTAGATGGTTGTGATGATGATGATGATGATAATTCAAATGATGTAGATGAAAAAGATGAAGGATTACTACTACAACAACAAGAAGAAGAAGACGGACCACGTGTCTCGTTCGTCGTTCCTCTGTTGTTGTTGCTGCTTTTACCGAATAATTTATTCCGACTAGATGTCGAATGAAAGACATTTGTCAATGTCTTTGTAAGTGAATGACGTACTCCTTTATCCCCTTCGTCATTATCAATTCCTTTTGTAGCTTTTGGTGTTGCAGCTGTAGCTCCATATGGAAGTGACATAATCACAGGAGGAGGTGTTGGTTCAGGTGTCGCCCGATGTTTTTCTTTCCAATTTGAAAAAGAAAAACTAGAATGTCGACTATTTTCTTCCTTCATCTTGAAAGAACTTTCATCAAGTGTGACGTTCGTTTGACATCGACTTGATACATTTGTATCAATAATACTTGTACTTAATCGACTAGAAAAGGAAAAACTTCCACTTCGACGGGAAGTAGGAAAGATTTTTTTAATACCGGAATAAATGTCCTTGGCCTGTTGTGACATGGTGTTAATAGAGTAATGGATTGAAGAGCGAGAGAGGGAAAAGGAGGTCTTGGAGAGGACGAGGGAACGTAGGGGGGTTGCGTGAAAGTATACAAAAAGCAAGACTAAAAGCCACGACAGAACTCACGGTATCAACTTTCTGTGTTTCGTGACTTTTTGTTGTCTCTCTCTCTGCCTCAGCTTGAGATATGGTAAGTATTGTAAGGCCTACCAAATAGTAAGGGAAATAAAAAGTAAGTAACTCAGATTAGACACGATCCGTTGGATAAAAAACCAGGTAGGTTTCAGAAAAATCGAATACCACCTAATGTTCAAAATAGGGTATATACTTACATACATTTACTACGACAAATGTATTAGTTATCTACCGTGTTTTAAACCAGCATTTACATACATACAATAACAAAGATAAAAGGAAGGTAGCGTTTTGCCTCGTTTTTTGGCTCTTTTTTACCTTTATCGATTGATTGATTGGTAGAGTGTCCTAGCTCCAAAGACATTCCTGAAAAAGATAGATGAATATTTCATGACCATGTATTAATAATACAATAGTAAACCAAAATTAGGTCAAGTCATTTTAGTATTGAATTAAAATCCCCTTTACCACGACAATAATTTGATGTCGTTTTCGCAGAACATGTAACGGTCGCAACGATTCATCAGACGGATGGGAACTCTCCTCGTTTCTTTCAAACGTTGAGTTGCAGTCGATTCCCATCATGCGTAGATTTTTGAGTATAGTCAGCTTCAAAGTGACATGCACATGTGACTTAATTGTATAAGTAAAAAAGCGTTGCACATCGGTAATGACTTGCATTATTTTCCTTGACGTGTCGCTGATTGTTGTCTCAAATGCATCCTACACGTTTCTGAAGGGTACAGTACCGTTACTAAAAGGTACAATGTTGTATTACTACGGCTCCATCACGACCTGACACAATCGTCACTGCATCGATCTCCTCAGTCGTAACAAAGTCACGTAGTAGTAGTAGCAGGGAAGAAGCGGATATTTTGTTGATGAACTCAACGGTGCTGGGCCGGTGAATTGCCGTGCTTTTCTAAGGTTGTGTATTGCATGCAGTATGAGGGTCCTGTGACTTGACGAAAGCAGATGAGCCAAGAAGAGAGAGCCGGTCGTTCTTGTACACTCCGGGTCAGCAGTAGCGGCTTTTTTTTGTATTGTAAGTCTTAGTCTGGAAGAACACTGATTTTTCGCGTCTGCGGGATGTTGCACGTATGTGCTTCAAAGATGTGAGATTTAATAAACTAAAGGGCGATAGGGAGATAAATTCTTAGAATACTTACCTCTTTTCTCTGTTCTACATATAAAACTAAATAACCTCTATGAATTGTCCCTCATTTTCGACAATAGTTTTACAGGTTGAATACTTACGTACTACTTGTGCAAATGGCATTATAGACGACGATAAATATCTATCACTACAAAGTTTGTTCGTCAGCCATTATTCGAAAATAAAGAAAAGCAATGCTGAGGTGCTTCTTTGACAAGGGTATTATGCTCTCAAGTTGCCATTCGCACCGTTTGCGAGCACAATAGCCAACTCGTGCAATACCGACAACAATGCGATCACTCTCCTTCACGCCATGTTGCTTTTGTCCTCGTCCTTATCTGCACCTAATTCGAATAAATCTCAATATTGTCTACCCATACAAACGACACAAATCACTCCAATCTAACGCTGTCAATACATTTGGAGAAAGAATGCCTATTGTATTACACCACAATGAGCTGTTTGCATCTCCAGACCTGTTCAAAAGCACCTTGCCAAGCTATTAAAAAAAGTTTCTCATCTCGCAGTTTCATTTCAAGTTCCATCGATTATGAGACCGACGAGACACCGCAAGCGGTACCAGTCCTGAATAGCATCAGCTACTGCGGCGGCCTACGTGCGCTTCGGGGCAAAACGACGTGGAGGTGGGGCGCGGCTTTTACGGGCCTCCACCGAACGACCACGCACGATACGCTGATGAATAGCAGCTTCTACGCAGTAATAGTTCTTAATGTAGATCTTAGGAAGAGCGTAAGATTCGTATACAGATGATTCCTTCAAATCACGAATTGCCGATTGGTCTACAATATTGCTGCAAAAAAAACAATCAAAAAAACGTTTAGTGACACTCAAGGCGTTTTTTTCACTTTTCATATGAACCGCCAGTATCGTGGGTTTTTTAAGCTTGTGACGACGTACCGCACGACAAAACGCTTGATTGCTTTGTCCTTGGGAATCAGCTTGGCCGTAGATACGCAGTGCACACGCTTCACATGGCCACGGCCTTTCTTGTTACGTCCATGGTTACGGCGCTTTACAGTCATGTTGATTCCTTTCTTGGTTCTTTTCTCCAAATTGGCTAAATTTGATAGGAGATAATGATTGAAACGCTGGCTGCCACCAACTTATGTAGACAAATGATTGGACAATATTATCCAGCGAATCAGATCAACAAAACTGGTGTCACTAATAGGAGGAGCGACTGAGAAGTAAAGACTTACGGTACTGCATTGTGTATTGCTAAATGAGAGACCAATGTAAATATATTGTGCTGATATCGCAGCAAGAGGATAGATATATGACTAACTTAATCAATCTCAAGCAACAGTAAGACGCAGTGACAATATTTTCTCTTTGTCTGTATAGCAAACCCATCAATACTTGTTATTGTTCTCTTGAAAGGTAAAGATACTAGTAAATCTTGTTGTTGTCCTGATACTAGCATTACAGTCTGATACCAAGACTGCAAACCTAGCCATCAGCACGCACGCACTGGCGCAACGACGACCGGTTAAACAGCTAGCAAACGATCGATGTTACATGCTATCGGACGTGTTACTTCAAATGCTTCATGATCTGTGGAACGGACTGCAACGAAAGAAAAAACAATCAGATTGCAATAGTTTTGTTAGAATAAGCTCATAAAGTAGTCGGTAAAGAAAACATACGACAACAGAATATAGAAAACATACACATTTGTCAATGCAGTGCAAGAAATCAAAGTATTGACCATCACACGAACCAACGCCCTTTGCCTTGACGCGATCCAGACAAGCCCGGTAGGCATTAAAAGGTTGCTCACATTTGGGTTCACATGCCTTGCGAATAGCAGGCATTACATCAACAGCCTCTTCATCCGACTATATTCATGCACATATCAACATTCATTAAGGTTATAATCATATCTACTCTGTTCATAATACAATCAAGCTAACAGAACACCCGACGCACCATTTTTAACGATGTTTATAGTCTCAGATTTTAGGACGAATGAATGAATATTCACTTCTCTCTCCGCCGCAGGTTTTTCAAACTGGTACATTGTACCATACGTATGAAAACCTGGTACATTGTGCCATACACTATAATTGGTACCTTGTACCTTATTTATCGTACAAGTCAGGAGCTCCCTTGGCCGTACGTTTAGTAGCTCCTCTATAGCGTTTGTCCATGCTTTCTCGTACTGTGCGTGCTCTTTGTGCAAGCTCTTCGCAGCCTAATGGACGTCTAGCTCCTTACATTATTGCTCGTGCTAGTTTTCATTCATCTTGTACCATTGGCAGTAGTTTTGTACAGGTAAATGATTAAATACTTGGAGATTTTTTTCTCTTTTTTTTCCATGAATGCTCATGATTTTGTTACTCTAATGCGTTGGTAGCATCGTGATACGGAAGATAACAATGCTGATACGCCGTTTGATTTTACACCGGAAAATTACGAGCGTGTACATGCAATTTTGGATCGGTATCCGGAAAACTACAAGACATCGGCTATTATTCCATTGCTCGATCTAGCACAGCGTCAACATGGTGGATGGTTACCACTTGCTGCGATGAATAAAGTGGCACGTATTGTAGATGCTAAACCTATTCAAGTGTATGAGGTGGCTACATTCTATACCATGTTTAATCGTGAAAAGGTGGGCAAGTACTTTATTCAACTCTGTGGTACGACACCCTGCATGATCTGCGGCTCGGAAGAGATTAAAACGACAATTGAGGACCATCTTGGTATTAAGGAAGGAGGTATGTGAGTTGTTATTCTTGTACTGGGAGGCAGGAATATAGAAAGACTTATTTTTGATGCTGGATGCTTACAGAATCGACAGAGGATGGTATGTTTACGCTGCGGGAAGTCGAGTGTCTTGGTGCGTGCGCCAACGCCCCCATGGTCCAGATTAATGACGATTACTACGTACGTCGCGGCATTTATGGCTTGCTACGGATTTGATTGAGGTACTGACTTCTTGTGTGTGTGTTTTTGTGGGGGGAGGTAGGAAAACTTGACGCCTAAGACAACACGTGAACTACTGGACGCTTGCAAAAATGGTGCTCCGCCTCCGATGAACAAGTGGGGCAGTTTGCCCATGAACGGACAGCTGTCGTGCGAAGGGCCGCAAGGGAAGAGTACACTGAAATGGGACAAGGTGCCTGGACCGGGATTTCGGATGCGTCCGGACGACGAACTCAAGCCCAAGGTGAACCCAAAGGACATCAAGGACGCCATGCTGTACTGAACAAGTAGTGGCGCGGCTCTGGAATAATTAGCTTGGGAAGGACATGACGTTTGCTCTACGACAAAAAGCACTTGCGAGCAACAGGTTGACGCATCCAATTCGGCAATGTTGCTGGCTTTTGCGATAAACAGAGTGCCTGCAACTCTCACACAATAACAGAGAAAAATAATAAACTGTGCACGCTTGCAGTTGGCTAGTGTAGCTTTTACAGATTCAACGCAGTCATTAGAGACCTGCAAAAGTTTGCATCAGAAAGTTGTGTCGGATGTCGACAGATCTGACAATCGTCGTTGGCACTTTTACCTCATCCAGTCGCCACCTGATAATAAACGTGCAGACTCGTCAGTTAACGGAGATGATTCATTCACCTGCGTCTTCGTTCCACCGCGTTTTGGCTCTAGCTGCTTTGCTCATCTAATACATCGATGACAAGAGTCGTTAATTACGTTTCCATACCACCATCAGCCGGTACAAGATGTCATGTCACTCATAAGGACACAAGATACAGTATGTGATCGTGATGAGGACACTGCAACACTGACAGTCAGCTTTGATCTTAGAAGAGCCCGAGTGGATGAAATGTCTGATCCAGTGTTTACATCCTGCCACATTACAGACGTCCGTTCCTTTCGCAGAATTCCTCAGACGTTCATCATTACCTAAACCTGTGCAAAGGTCACGTCATTACGCTAGAGACATCTCATCAACAAACTTCAAAACCCTCACACGTCCGATGTCCCTGATAGACTAAAGATAGCGTCTTCCTTAGGCCCAATAGCCTCCATATTTTGTGGTAAATATTTGATACAAAACCTTCATATACTGATTTTTGTATGGAAAAGGACGACGAACCCCTTCCACTTCTTTCATTGGTCAAATATTTGATATTTTTATTGTAATACGCAATGGCTCGAGACAATGACCGCGATCGGAAGCGGCGACGTTCAAGGTCGTGCTCTCGCTCTCGCTCACGTCGTCGCAATCGTTTTCACTCACCGTCTGCATCTGTAAGTGCGTCATGTCTTTATCCTTGTCCAGTCTCGTCAAAAACGGATATTGCTAGCGTTCAGGAGATGCAATCTCCGGTGGTCACTATAATTTCTCCGCTACCTGCTGTAGCGCATCGTGAGGAGCTCTTGAGTGCTCTAGAGTCTCATCAAGTTGTAATTTGTGTAGGAGAGACTGGATCTGGTAAAAGCACGCAGATTCCGCAGTTTTTGGACGCCTGTGGAGCTTATACCGCTGTTAAATGTGACCAAGGTGGGATATCTCATTGTGTAGCCATCACACAGCCCAGACGAGTAGCTACAGTGTCAGTAGCTCACCGAGTAGCCGAGGAAATGAATACAAGAGTTGGAGGTGATGGCTTTGTGGGCTATTCAATCAGATTTGAGTCACGGTGCAGCGACCAGACGAGACTCAAGTTCCTGACGGATGGAGTTTTAGTTCGAGAGTGTTTGAACGATCCATTGCTCACAAAATACAGCGTTGTGATGGTGGATGAAGCGCATGAACGTAGTATTCATACAGATATACTCTTTGGTCTATTGAAACAAGTGATGCAACGACGACCAGAGTTTCGGGTGCTTATCACGTCCGCTACGTTAGATGCCGACAGGTTTGCAGAGTTTTTTGGCCAAGCGACATTGTGTCAAGGTGTCAAAAGCAAGAAGGCGAAAAGAAAGAAGGTGACGCCATGTCCAATTGTTAAGATTCCTGGACGATTATTTCCTGTGGACATTTTTCATTCCAAACAGCAGCAGGTCATGGGACACAGAGGTCCGCTGTCATCTTATGTGCATGCTACTGTCGAGACGACAATGCAGATACATAATAGCGAAGAACCAGGTCATATCCTTGTATTCCTTACCGGCCAACGTGAGATTGAAGATGCGTGTGCACAAATTCGAGCGCTTTATCGAGAACAAGGAGAGAAACGAACGGATGGCATGGAGCTGCTTGTTCTGCCGCTGTATGGCGCATTGCAAGGCCGCAGACAGCGTGAGATCTTTGATGCATTGTCAATGGCTCGCGTGCGTAAAGTGATTGTTGCGACAAATATTGCCGAGACTTCTCTGACGATTGATGGAGTTCGATATGTAGTAGATTGTGGCTTTACGAAGCAAAAAGTGTATAATCCAGTGCAGCAGATGGAGTCTCTTGTGATTGTGCCGATCTCCAAGGTGTCAGCGCAACAGCGTGCTGGTCGAGCTGGTCGCACGGCTCCTGGAAAATGCTATCGTCTTTATAACAAGGTTTCTTACGAGGAAATGGCTCAGGAGACAGTACCCGAGATTCAGCGCACGAACCTGGCAAACACCGTGTTGTATCTTAAGTTGCTTGGCATCCAAGACGTGCTTGGTTTTCCGTATTTGGACCCGCCTGATGAAGACTCACTCTTGGATGCGCTGAAGCAGCTGTACGTACTTGGAGCATTGGACTCCACAACTGGCGAGGCTACACCGCTTGGTAAACTCATGGCTGCCTTTCCATTAGAGCCAAAGCTTTCTCGTGCTTTAGTTGAATCATTGTTGTTGAAGTGCAGTCGGGAAATGACGCAAGTGGTTGCAATGCTTTCTGTAGAGAATGTCTTTGTTGAGTCTGATCAAAGGAGAAGTCGCCGTGATGAAAGCGACGACAATGAAAACAAGGAATCAGCCTGGGAACGTCTCATGCTGACATTAAAAGAAGACGGACTTTTGCACAAAGACGGAGACCAGCTCACGTTTCGACTGTTACTGGAAGTATTTGAGTCAAAGTCCCACGGAATGAAACAGCATCGCCGCAAACTTGAGCTCTGGTGTAAAGATCGCCATCTTCGACTGCGCGCTCTGACGATGGCTGGATCCATTGTGAAGCAGCTTCGTGATATCATCAACTCGCTATCTCGACGCAACCTCGATGCTGTTAAAACGACAGTGCGAATAGATGACAACCAATTGAAAGCATCGCTAGACGACCGCTTGCGCCAAGCACTCTGCGCTGGTTTTTTCATGAATTCAGCGCGTCGATGTTCAACAGAGACAGTATATCGCGCAATGTATCACGACGAAGATGGGCAAAAATCAGTCCAGCTTATGCAATTCCACCCGCTGTCGACAATGTGCTACACCGCACCACCCGAATTTTGCGTGTACCAGGAGCTCGTGATCACCAGTAAGCCATTCATGCGATGTTCATTGGCTGTTGAGCGTCGTTGGCTCGACTGGTATAGCAAGGGCAAGCTGAAAGTCTCGTTGGCACTATTGTATGCTCTATGTGGACGGACACCTCCCATCCACGAGAAGGACGGGGAGCAAGAAAAAGGGAAGCAGTCAAGTATTGAATCATCGGAAACAAACTCATCAGCAATAACTTTGAAGCCAACTCCAGTGACTGCTGATGCCGTTGCTGCGGCCCGTGCACGCTTCTTGGCGCGAAAGAAAGGCTATTAGACATCACGACATGGAGGCGGATAACGAGAATCGTCTCACCTCATCCAATACTCACAATTTCTTGGACATAGCCACATCATGACGGAAGATGATGACAAAGAGACTAAGCATGCCTCATCCAGGTTTGTGAATTGACCCGCTATTCTTAGCAATTTGTTTGACTGAGTAAAGTGTCATGTGTTTATTAGGCGAGCGTTGTGGGCTATAGAGCTTCAATTGTGTTCCTGGTCATCTCAACCTGGCTGCCTTTTGCTAGCTGTTTCGCTCAGTCTGAAGGAGATGTTGCAGATGCGCATTCTCACTTTGCAACGTTGACACAAATTGTTTCAAGCTTGTATTTTCGCTCGCCAGTGCCTTTTCCACCTCGTAGCTGGCCACCATGAACTCTTCATACCCGTCTTTGGTAATTTGCAGCTGCTCGGTTTTGGTTCGTATCTCCGTTTGCAGCCTTTCCACCACATTCATCCAGTTTTGGTCGCTCACAAATCGAGATGCCCCATTCGTTTTGTCGTCTTCTGCAGCATTTTCGTCGCCGGGATCATCCGTGTTCTTGTTGTAAGATTCAAGCTCGAGTGCATTCTCTTGAGCATCCGACGCCTTTCCTGTCTCCCCGGCTACGTTTGGAATTCCAACGACACTCAGCAAGCAACTCACTACATTTTGGTACTTCTGTAACTTAGCTGTCAGATCGCGGACCTGTTCTGCCGAACGCGATGCAGTCTGTTTGTAATTTTCCTGGGAGATCTCGAGCTCTTGCTGCGCAAAAACAGCTTCTTCTTCGGCTCGCTCAATTTTGTGGCTTAGGTCTTCCTCCGTCGCTTTCAACCTGCGTACGCACGACTGGAGGTCGTCGTTTTCTTGCTCCAGGTGTCGAAGCTGTTCGCGAAGCTTGGCGATTTCATCGTTGTGCTCTGGCGTCGACATGTGTGTGACAATGGCGCTTCGGTGGTCGATTTGCTGCTCGATTCTTCTAAAATGTGCTGCTTCGTTCAGGCCAGGCACTATGCTATTTCTGCTCTCCAACTTCTGTCGCTTGTGTTTTTTCAAGTTGCAGCACGCCTCTACGAAGTAGACCTGTACAAAATGTTTTTCGATGGATTGGCCAAGATCTTGTTGAAGCAATGCTGTCGCTGTCCAAGCCGTCACCACTGCACTTTCTCTCCTGAAACAGCATCTACAATTGTCACCTTCCATCAAACTTACATGAAGTCGCCAGATGCCACAGCAATTGCCGCACCTGTACTACATCGTTTCGAGTAGAAAAGGTATCGGAGTTTTGTAGGACTAACATGACGAAACTCGTGCTTCATATGTCGTTCCAGGCTGCAACTCTGTGTTCTAGCTCTTAATGTCGGCAAGATGTCGACTGTACTTTTCTTTGTAATAGCATCGCAATTGCTTGTACACAATTTTGGTTAGACTGCTAGACATCGACTGTAGCGGTGGTTGTATCGTCTTCATCTTAGGCAAAGTGAAGACCTTCACAAGAGAAAGTGGCACGATCCCGTTTTGTTGAGCAAGGTACAGGCTGTATGTTCACTGTCATGGTGCTATGGTAGTGTGACGTGTCGCTCCCTACAAACACATTAACACTTCGAAACGTATTAATTAGTCGCAAACATGCAGTATCGAGGCACAAACATTTGAGTTGAGCAATTGCATTTCGTCGCAATGATGATATCGTAGTCAATTGACTTGCCACGTTGGCCAAGAAGATAGTTGGCATTGCAGACAGATGAACCAACTAGAGTGCTTCAGCTAAGCTTGTCCTATCACTGTCAAACAACGTCAACAACAACAAGAACAAAACACTAGCCGATGCACTGGGTCCATTATTATCAGCTCGACAATGAAATTTCACCAAGACTTCACAAGTAGCAATAAACACACACATGATCATTCCTCGTCACCTTTTACTTAACTTGGTCTCTCTCTCTGTGTCGAATCTCATTGCGTCCAAAATTGTCCCAGCTTGCTCTCTCTTACTCTCACTTGTGTGTTTACTATCTGTTATGTCTTCGTCTTCTTCTATTGAATCATACAAGATGTTTGCATCTCGGAAGCTTTTTTCACTTGATTCAGTCCTTGTCTTGTTTGTTCCATGCTCTCATGCACGTGTGTCTCAATATCATCAATTGCACTCTGTTGATCGTGCACAATGGCTGCTAAATCTCGAAAAATCTCATTCACCTGTGCAACACTTTGATGAATCGTATGAATATCCTGTTCTCGTTCTTCAATCAGTGCTTCATTATGTGCAATCTCATTCTCAAGCTCTGCAAATTGAAACACTTGTCCTTGATGTTCTGCAATCAAATGTCCATTCTGCGCTTGCTCTTGTTGCTGCTGATGCTGATGTTGTTGCTGCTCTATAAGTGTCCGTTGTTGTTCCTGTTCTCGTGCGGCTACACGTCGTACAGATGTTTCCAACTGAGTCGAAATCACTTGAAAATCTTTACATACTTTACGTTTGAGCAACGAATTGGACGAGTTTATGGGTATTTTGCCCAATTGAGAAGCAATTTCTTCCTGTAATAAACACGCAAATCGAATCCGATCATGTAAATCCTCATCAATTGACCCTAATGACAATGACGTTGTTCCTGTTGATGACGTTGTTGCTGTTGATGCACGTTTGATCGCAAGAACTTGACGTTGAAATTGTTCGAGCTTTATTGTGACACTATCAATCGCCTGACGTGATGAGAAAGAGAGAGCATTGAAGGAAGAGGTTGTAGTATTAGAATTAGAAGTGCTAGTAGTTGTCGTCGTCGTTGTAGTTGAGGTGATGGATGATGGTGTTGGATCGTTTGAAGCAAAGTCAGCAAAGCTCATTACCACTGGAAGAAAGCAAGGAAGCTTATTTTTATGGGTTGAAAGTGAAAATGGGTTCATTTGATACCTTTGTTAGGGGTTTAAAATGGGAAAGAAGGCAGTTTCAGTGGAAGTGGTGTTACAAAAGTAGGTGTGGTTTTAGTTTAAGACTGACTAGTTGAAGAGGATAAAGCTACACAGTGAAATAGGCGGATCAGGTTTAGTATAATGAGATTAACCTTATTTGATAAACAGATCGTAATTAGGTTGTTTTTTGAATCTAGATCTCTCTTTACCTGTTGTTCATATAGAGAAAACATTAATACTTCGAGGTCTCATGTCATGCAAACATCCGTAGAATCAATGACCAATGTTTTCGTAATGCCATTCTTCCTTCTTCATAAATAGCTCAGGACTTGCGTGATGGCACATAGCATCATACTGTCCTTCTCTTTGCATCCTCATGTCCTTACTTGCTTTTTCACAGTCTTGAAAACTGTCATTACACGTGGCATGAATCCTCAAAGAAACGGTATTGATTCGTCTGCTGCATCGTACGTCTAGTGAATAGTGCACGTAAAATGCCCATAGCAATCTTCATAGACAACAAACAGTTGCAGCAGTTGGCCAACACTATTCCTACTCACCCGGAGACTTTTATGCGTCCTCAAAAATCAAAGTCACTACCACCATCGCGGCTTCTTTGAGATCGCTACGGCTTCTTTAGATGCCTGCCATTGTCATGGAACGCTTTAGGCTAAGGGCTTTCCTTCGTACCTCCCCACGCCTGGATTCAGCGGTCATTTGGTCTCTATCTTTTTCCTGCCTCTACGGGGGGGGGTCTTGTTCTCAGCACTTGGGAAACAACTTTCGTTGATGTAGCGTATGATCAATCACACTTACAACACCTTTCTCTGTATTTATGCCGGCATGCATCAATGCAGCGGCCTTGCTTACCATCTCCTATCATGCCAATATTTCGCTTACGTGCTTGACGGTATTCATAGTCATGTCGGTGTTTTCGTTCTGGTAACCGCATTCGGTAGCATCTCACTCAAGGAATCACGTAACAACGGTCGGGCTGTCCTTATTGCATCACCCGCTTTTGTCACGAACCTCCTCAACCTCTTCATTTCCAGCCGCGTACAATTCAAACGAGATATCCCAACCAAGTCGTCACGTGACTTGACATGGTATTTACCGCCGTATTCTCTTCTAGCCTTGACGTCGTTTGCAATCGGATTGATATGATGTGTATGTGCTAGTGGATGTTGTGTGGCTGGCGTTTCTTACCATTAATTTTGTGTCACTCGACGTAGGTATGCTCACTAAGGCGGGCGATGTCGTTCTACACTTTGCTCAGCAATGTCTTCGTTCCTGTCATAAGAGCTGTTGCTTTAACAGCTCTTTAGATGGTGGAATACTGACAATGAACATTGTTAAGACTAGAAGGCGTGGTATCATTTTCGTTGCTCACATCGAGTTCTGTGGATACCTTTTCCTTGGCGCAGCAGTCCACATCTTTGAAGTCTACAGAGGAGCGTCTACGTTTGCATTCTATCTACTGATATTGACAACCAGTGTGCCTGTGGTTTGGCATTTAAGTGTCTCGATGGAAGTCATGCTTCCAGTAGTAACGTTATCGCGATACAATACGTCTTAATGGACTGTACCCGCGTTTTAGAAATGAGATGAATGCACGTGATCGCGGCACAAGACACTTCTTGCTGCTGGAGAAGTGTCGAAATAAAGGCATCACGATTGTTGCTGGTCAACGCGAAGCCTGGAAATCAAAAAGTTGCTGCTGAAGAATGCAGTTGCAAATGAAAAGAGCTGAGAGCTTTTGCCACTGTTGATGCAGTTCTTGAATTCTGTGACTCGTCGGTGCACAATGAGTCGGGCATGACACAATACCCGACGCATGCTAATTTGTTACTGCATCATCTCATGGACGGTTTCTAAAAACTGACATGTTGGAACGCAGCAGCCACTGCGACAGATGTGCACGTGCGCTGATATGACATGACTTGCGATCAATTGGATCGCCATCCAGCATCGTATTGCAATATTGTTCCAAAGCCTTCAAGATATGCATGAAGCTAATATCAACTCTTGCAAGCCAATGTACAGACAAGCTAGAAACACCGTTGTTGGTACTATAACGACCGCGATCGAACTACATCAGCTGCATTGGCCGGTTTCTCATGTCTGCAAGTGTCCTTTATCATTTGTTGACTCACTTCCCACTCATGTTTTCTTTTCGTATCTCGTCAGTCTGTCTCCTACTAACTTCCATGCATGATCGCCTTGCCAAGCAAGATAATAGATGCAGCTGCCCAGCCACTAAAGTTCCCCATCAATAGTCCCATGGAGGTAATGGTCACATAGTCTGAAACAGACACAACCTCTCTGTTGGATGTTTTTGTTGGCTTGGAGGTGTCCTTGGTACTTGGATGGTAGCAGTAGAACATACCTGCGACACCCATTAGACAAACTTCCCATCCAAACATGGCTAGAGCACTAACAGATTTACTATAAACTCGAGCACTAGATCCCACAAAACCCGTTACAAAAGAGAGAAGCAGTGGTGCCAATTGAGACAATGTTTCACTCAATCTTGGCTTCAATGAAGGGCCATAAGAGTCATACAATCGTCGCTTCTCGGGATCCGACAGTACTTCATATGCCTCGGTAATAGCTTGAAAATGTTCTCGTTTTGCATTTGGATTTTTATCGGGATGATACTTGAGTGCCATTGAGCGATAAGCTTTTACAATGACCGATGAACTACAACATCACAAAAAAGTGTGACGACGTCCATAGTTAGAAAATTGTACATTGTGAGACGTACAGACCTCCGTTCAAGATGAAACGTGATCCAATCGTATTTGATGTACCTTGCATCATCATCTACATGAAGAATGGAGTAATAACTTGGTTCTTGACGCTCGTACATGGCAAATTAAGACAACACGAGGAGGTTGAGAAAACCCGTTAGTCGACTTTCAACTTTGTTGGTCTTTCGAGAAAGGTGAGGGTGCAAACAAAAGAGTACACAGAATTTTCGTACCAAGTTTTGATGTTTTTCGACACAAACTGAAGTTGAAGTTGACTTGACCATGTCTGTAACAGGTATGAAGATAGTTTGTTTTTGTTGTATAGATGAACAAATTGGTAGGCTACTTTAGAATGGATTGTACGATAACGTCAAGGAAACTAATCGATAGGGTTGGCGCCTGCACTTTCATGGCATTGAACTGATCACGACTCATTTCAAACACAATGCAAGACTCAAATGCAGTTGCAGCAGTCTGTCGTGGATTCTGGCTGAAAAACGACACCTCGCCGAACATGGAGCCAGCAAGAACAGGCTGTAGCTTCATTAGAGGCTGGCCGAATGCAGTATTGCCGTCTTCATTTACAAACAATGTGACGGAACCATGAGCGAGGAAGTAGAAGTGGTCCGAGGACTCGGCGATATGATAGAACTCATGACCTGCAGGGACTTCAAGTTTTTGAAAGAAATTATCAATGCCCTGAAGCAGCTTCGAGTTATCAGGTTCGTCCAAGAAGCGGTGCAACAGCAAACGAATGGGCTCATTCGAGTATCCAAAACGCTTTGTCTTGACGACATTATTAACGCCAGGCATTAACTGCTTTGTACAAAACTCGAGAGCTGACTTGGCTGTTACGAAAAAACTGTCTTCGTTCGCAGCCTTATTTTTCAGCAGCAGACGACGGATTTCGGGTCGTACACATGCAAAGACGACACGAATGCCTCGAATCTTGCAGTAATTGTGCAAAACTAAGAATGCATTTCGTGCCGCTGTTGCGTCCATCCCGGACACGCGGGTAAAGTCTATGATGACAAACTCGGTTGGTGGGGTGTTTTCATTCGGACATGGGCTGCCGTCCAGGCACTCGACTGGAGCGTCCCAGGTCGACGGATGGATAGGGAGGAAGCTCGAATCACGTTGTTTAGTTTCACTCTCTTCTCTTACCTTCTTGAGCTTGCGAACGTAAACACCTTTCTGAACTCCGTCTAGTACTTGAACTGATGAGCCGAAAAAAAGGTATCCGCAGAACTTGAAATGCGCGATTACATTGTGTTTGGAGTTGAGCAATGTGCTCTGCGTGACGTTGCGGACTCCCACCGATTCGTAGGAACTAAAGCTTACGATACTTTTTCCAGTGTTCTGCACAGCAGCTGAGAAACGAGGACGGAGGCTACCAATACTTTCACCAAAATATGGCCTCGCGGCTGACGAAGGCAAGCAAGAGTGTGTGACAGGAATTTTCACGTAGCTTAGAATGAAGTTGAGGACAGCAACATTCGCACCAGCTAGTATACCCAGCTCTAGTGAGAAGTAGTTCATGGCGATGAAGGTCAACCATACCACAGCACATTCGCACAGATACATTTTGCGGTACGCGAGCACCAACCATTCGAACATGAGGTCCACTGCCACAAAAATGAGAGTAGCGGCTACGGAAAACCTTGGAACGTGACTCGTCACCGATACTGGGATGGCGACGATGGCTAATTCCGTCAGAGCCACACACACGCCTACGAGACGCGAGTTGGTCTTGGAACGGCATGTAAAAATGGTTTGCTTGAAATTGTAGGAACCCGTGTAGCCTCCAAACAACCCGCTAACAACATTGGACCAGCCAACGATCTTAAGCTCGTGATCGATATCGAGTTTTTTGCTCAAGTCGGTCTCAATGGCGATGGCATCCAGAGTGGAAGAGAAGGCGACGAAGAAGACCATTGCTAGCCACGTGACGAATTGCCTGGGAATTTGTCCCCAATGCACCAGAGAGATGTCGAGAAGACTGACGATCTCTGTGATGCTTATGGAGGTTCCTGCCGAATTGACCCAGCCGCTATCACGTGCTTCGTCGAGCGAAATGCCACCAGCAATTAGCACCAAGAAGAAAAGCATAGGCATGATCACGATAGCTGTTGCCAGTGCGAATGGACTTTTGACATACTTTGAAACGATGAGGAGCATGACACCACCAATGAATCCTGGAAGACAGAGTACTGCATTGTGCGAATCTTTGAGTGCATTCAACATCGACGTAAAATCGTTGATCACGAGCCCCGTGCTGAGTGCAAACCCTCCAAAGAGACAAAAGATGCCCATAAATGCAAGATAGCCACCAATCACAGGCACCGGAACGTACAAAGCAAGCGACGCCAGCTTACATCGTCCCATGATAACGAGGCATATGCCCAACGAGAATGCAGCAATGCTGATAGTGACGACAGTCGTGGCAATCTTTGCTCTACCAGTTATGTTTTCATGGTCATTTTCATTGAGCGAGTTACAAATCGAGGTGGCCATTGCGCTAAGAAAGATAAGACTGACGTTTTGTACCTGACCGATGGCAAAACGCAACGAGCTCATCAGAGTAAACATGATTTGGTGAGTTGCACTCGAGAAGATGACAAGCTTGGCCAGCGATGGTATGTAGTGTGCAAATGTCGGATGGCTAAAGATGACAACAGTGTATCCGTACAAGATGGGAATGGATTGAATGGAGTTGACGATTCCATACAGTATTGAATTCATAACCTCGGGCATCGAGTGCCATTTGTCTGTAGGTTCTCCGACAGATTCAATCGAAACTCTGCTGAGTAGGAATGCTCGAGATGGAGGAATAGTCGTCTTTCAACTTTGATCATGTGTAATCGAGACCATATCCAACCAAGTGACCCGACAAAAGCCACTGCAGTCTATTGAGTCGAGAGACGAGTGCAAAGTGAGGGGCTTCTATTGACATCAAATCACCAAAGAGCGCACAGGTTTGAAGCAAATAGTGCTATGTCCTTGAATTCTGTTTCAAGTGGCAGCAAATCTCGGGGACATGTCGAGGTGCTACCGATATTCTCTACTAAGTTACGAAAGTTACATGAACATGCACTCACTTTGCATTGCATCTAGTCCATGTAGCTCAGCTTCGAGCATTTGATGAATGGTATCAATGCGTCCTGTTGAGTAACCGTGCTATTGAGGTTGTGCAACAGAAAGCTGTTGACCAAGAAGCAGCTTCAGCGATTGATAAAAGGCGAAGGAGTTACATTATTCACTAATGTTTACCATCATGGATGTATGCTTACTAGGTTCTTCTTACGGTCGAATGAGATGCGGTTACACGCTGAACGTGATGATATTCATGACGTACGGTATGTTGCAAGAACACCATCTCTGTCACTGTCATCTTCAGGCAATTTGCAGCTACTGCATATGTCACCGATGCTTAGCTACAGTATGAGGTGGCCACGATATCGTCGACGGCCTCGTCTACAGCTTTGTACGTTTTGTACGGTGGTTGATATCGTGGCGTGGCATCAGTCATGACTGAGGCATCAAGTGCCATGTCGCCGCCAACACTAAGCTGCCAAGCGTGTCCGATTCCTTTTGCAGTTGCAACCGCTTACTGATCGCGTCTTTCTTTGCAGTGACATGCACTTGTAGGTGGCAAAGAGGATGCAAAGGCAAAGATCATGCATGGGCGACACGAGTGGCAGCATCTAGATCGACCTCGAAATACCACAAATATACTGAGATTTTACCTGTTCTAGTCTATTTGTTGTTAATAGGGGATAGCAATGCAATTGAATTGTCATTGACAAGGTTAAGATAGAGCGTGTGTGTGTGTAGTCAATACGTGAATATCATTGAAGCAGTCAATGTGTGTGTGTAGTTTTCACCATTGAATGTACATTTATCTTCACACATAAGGGTCAAGACTAGAATTTTCTATTCACGTGTGAGCTTATCAATGCGTCAGATCGGGGTGTTTTTTTTTCCTACTTGATTAAATACACAGTTGCTCAAATCCTTATTTTGGGCTGGTTGTAGTTCTTATAAATTGTTATATGTCCAAGAATTTCTAAATTAATTATATTGCAATAGAACATTTCTTGGAAAGTTCCCATCTTTGTCCAGTCGCACTTCTACAAGTTCAGTCAAACCCCATCGTCTGTTCGTCCATAGAAATATTTGTCATATTGAAAAATGACGTTGCCTAAACTGTCCAAGGCATTTATGACGTCTCCAGTCATGACAAGAAAGAACAAGAATGATACGACACTATACAATACGTTTGTGCAGGGCATTTTTCTGTCGACGGGTGTCTTTTCTACGTGTGTAGCACAATTCATATTTTATCAAGGCGCTGGTGATCAAACAGTCATGCTCTTACCACTTTGTAATTATATGGGTATGATGTTGGTAGGATTATTACCTGCTGTGGGTATTACGACATTTAAAATGGAGATGAAGGATATACAAGAAATGCAATTGACGGAGAAAATCAAGAGTCTGACGAAGAACATTCATAATCGAGAACTAGAAGATAAGGTCGAGCCAGAGCTGACTTTTATACAAAGGGACACGAGGACATGTAGTCGACAACGTTCTATTGATTTGGATGTAGTAGACATGGAACTGATACGACGATCGACTTTATTGTGTGAAGATGATCAACAACAGGAACAACAAGTGCTGCTACTAGAGGATAAATGTGGTGACAGCGACGAGAACAGGCTTGTGCTTGATTGTGATGTCACTCCATCGTCTGTATCGTTTTCATTGTCCACATTGCAACTTTGTATCATTTTGTCGGTGGTGCTAGACTTTTCCGGCTGCATCTTTTCCAATGTCGGGCTGTCTATGGCTGGAAGTGGTTTGTACCAGGTCGTGTACTCGAGTGTCATCTGCTGGTCGGCACTTATGTCTCGGTTTATCCTTAGAAAGGTTGTGTCAATATGGGAGTGGTTTGGTATTGCACTGGTGACGTTTGGACTTGCGTTTAGCGCACTGGGGGGAGTCACGAACTGGACGTGATAACATGCTTGTGCTCATGGGCTGTTTCAACACGTTGGTTGGAGCTGCTTTTTATGGTGGCAATTATGTCACGGGAGAATACACACTCAAGCTAGCAGAGCGACCACATCCGAAGGAATTGTGTCTCAAGATTGGCGCAGCTTGTGTTGCTATCATTGCCGTTTATCAAAGCGTCTTCGTGCTACCTGAGTGGGACGCATTGGTCACGAAGCCCATTGCTGAGGCCAGTGGGAACACGACCTATATTGTCTCTGCTCTCGTAGCGTATACTGTGTCACAGCTTGCACATGGACTCACGTACTTTGTAATATTAGGCTCCAGTGGTGCCGTTACCACAGGTATCATGCAGAGCTTGCGTGCTGTGTGCGTATTCGTGATAAGCTCAATGTTGTATTGCAGTCAGCAGGAATCACAGTGCTTTAATACAAAGCGTGGTGTCGCTACCTTGATCGTTGTGAGTGGTGTCATGTTCTACTCGTGGGCAAAGAGTCAGCAGAAAAGCACGAGTGTATTAGCTCCACCGTCGTCGCAGCAAATAATGAAAGACTCGAAGACTATGATGATTACAGGTAAGAACTATATTGTCTAGGTCATATCAGCTGTAACACTATTGATACACCCACTGACTGAGCAAGTGGCATGTGTGTCCTCATGTTCTCTCTACTTGTAGACTAAAACAATATTGTCTGTATACGTACAGTCTTTGTCTAGTGTTGTAGCACATATTTCCAGTAACATAATACAATTCACACAGCCGCATGCTTACATCCTTAACAGTTTGATTGAACCTATTGCAGCACCAAGACCAAAGACAATCTGCCAGTATGCTTGTATTCAATTAAAACAGCTTTACCATGCTAAATGAGTGGTTACGTTAGAAATGCACCGCTTTATTCAAGATAATGCATTGGTTAGACAGAAATGGGGTTACGAACAAAAAGACTATTCTGTTAATGACAAGTGTAAATTATAACTTGTATGGTCAAAAATATAAAAAATAATGAGCCAAACAAAAGAAACGTAATCAAACTCTATTTTTGGGTACATTTGCATGGATTTTGGTGTGTCAAAAATGCGTGGGCGCCTCGGCAGTGGCGGCTCTCCTGTCCTCAATATGAGCGTGCAAGAAGCGTACGAAGATTCACAAGAGGTGGACTTGACTGGTGCCTCTAACGGTAGTAGCAAGCTGCTACTGCCGATGGTTTCGTCACGATGCAGAGGCATGAAAGATGACGACGATGACGACGATGATAATGACAAACAGGGAAAACACCGGAGACGACGTCACGTTGCCAACTGGCTAAAAGCTATACAGTCTCGTCTGATTCGAGTGTCCAATGGTATACAATGGATACGTTTGGTGTTACTGGGGATACTGGTGCTGGTGGTGATTGGCGGCTTGATGCTGTTCGTGCTAGAGGTAGCGGGTCGTATGAGGTTTCGTGGATACTTTGTCGCTCAACGGAATCATAATGGACAACTGGGATTTTATCATGAAATGAATGTGAGTATGCAGACGCTGAAAGACATAAGTGAAAGACCAGAAGGAAAGTTGTTCCCGGCATCAGCGTCGGACCCGAGAAGAGTGAAGGCGTGGGTGGTTAAGCGTAGAAAACGCACTAATGGGCGCAAGTTACTCGTAGGCTGTACGTCCCATTGGAAAGGCTACGTGCTGCGCTCGTTTCTTTCACTCTTTGAGGAGCTCAAGACTACACATGGGTGGGAAGATCTCGATACATCCAGGAACCCGATGCAGGGAATCTACGACATGGACCGGAAGCAAGCTCCAAGCGTCATGCTCTTCTGTTTAAACTCATTTTACTATCCGATGGCAATGCTGCAAGAGTACAGTGCGTACTTCCACGAGCTGCGCGCGTCGGGCACGATAATGATGGTGTGGAATGATGACTTGCATTATTATGACCAGTTTGATCCTATTGTATTGCGTGACGAGATTTTGAGCAAGGTGGACGTTTTACTCGGAACGTACACGTACTTTATGGATGACTATTTTGCCAAGGTTACTGAATTGATGAATGAGCGCGACTTGCCCCTCACGGTCTGGTTGCCACATTCATCGGGCCCGGATTTTGTAAACGCTTCGTTCAACGAGTACCCGATCAACAAGATTATCCTTTCAGGTAAGCTTGGTTTAAACTGGTACCCGCTGCGTCATTGGCTGGGCGTTTACCAGCAAAACCATCAAGATATCATGGACGTGTATCACCACAGGGGTTATTACGTAGCAGAGAACCAGTCTGTCATTTATGCGTCCTATCTGCGCTCATACCGCACAGGTATCACTACGACATTAATTTTCCAGTACGTCATCGCCAAGATTTTTGAGATTCCTTCGACAGGTGCGCTGCTAGCGGTAAATCTTGACGTAGCACCGCTACTTGCCGCGCTGGGAATGAAAGAGGGCGAGCACTATGTGGGTTTCGATCGGCAGGATCCAGAGGCAATTATCTGGTGGGCCAATAACCCTCGTAACTGGCCCAAGATCGACCGGATCCGTCGCGCTGGAATGGAACTTGTCCGGAAGCAGCATCTTGTGACGAACCGCGTTAAAGCTTTGGACCTGTTTGTGACGGAAGGTGAGGCCGTGTATCAATACCCATCGACACTGCGTCTTACAAGTCCATGTCCGTCCAAGGCGCTTGTAGACGCGTACAAATGCCAGACTCGATTCAATCGTGAATCGTTTTACAAATGTGATCGGTGGTTTTGTGGCGTGCACTCACTTCTGTCGCTTTGAGACAAAAAAAGAAGTCAATGGCGTGACAAAATATAAGGAAACAACACGTCAACATAATGATTACCTAAAACCCAACGTGTTTATCTTATTTTAATCCAATCACACCATCCTTTTGATTCACTTTTCAACCAATCCACATTGTGCTGATTGTATCTTGTCCTTTGTATTAAAACCTTGCAACGTGTGCCTTTATATATTTCACACCTTGCCGCATTCTGCATCTGATTCCGCACTCAAAGACAACAAGAGAAAGAACGAGAGAGAGAGAGAGAGAGAGAGAAAGCGGTAGATACACAGACACACACACAGATATATCAAGCCATGCAATATGAATATATTGGAGGCCTTGAGGTGACGTATGGTAACGCACTAGCGGCAGGTGGTGGTTTTCACCGTGTTACAAATGCCGAGGGTTCAGCTGCTGAAGTGTCACCTCATACTTTTCTTTGGTATCAGCTTTTGTCACCGACGAATCCAAAAGTACCTTCTGATTCTTCTTCTGATTCGAATCCCATCCTTGCTATCATACACTTACGAATTGGAAAGGAACACGAGTCAAAGATTGAAAGTACGTGGAGAAAACTAGAGAAAGCAATTGATCGTCAAAATGGACGTTTTTTATGGTATCAAGTGATGGAATTTCAAGGTTGTACGTCATTTTTAGCTCAATCAAAGCAACAACAACAACAACATGAGATCCGACCATTGAAAGAGATTCGTGTAGTACGTGATTTGAAGGACATTCCAGAAGGTTTTGAAGTACTTGATGAGCCACTACTGAGTCAAGACGGAGACAGTGAGTCTGTAGCTACTTGTTGTGATTGTTTATATTAGTGGTAGTTGTACAATACTACTAGTGATAGGATTTTTTTAGTGAGAGTAGGATGTGGATTTAACATTGTACTTGTGGAATGTCTGGATACAGCAGAACTGCGGACATATTTGTGTTTCCGTCGACTTGGGAACGAAGATTTTGCAGGCTCCAAATGGTCTATTCTGAACCAAAAACCGGGCAATTGGATTGATGTAAAGGACCTGTCGTCGAACAAGTGGAGTGTGGCGCAGATTTTGCACCAATCAATGTCGGAGATTCGTGTGCATATTCCGACGTGGAGAAAAGGACGTGATGAATTTTTGTCATGCTCGACGTGCCGCAATCGCGTCGCAAAGCTCGGAACGCATACGAACGTGCACATGTCCCCGGCATACCCGTTCCCGTGCAAGCAAGGAGGTATGTGGAATGTCAATATGAAGGATCTTCAGCACGCTCGAGAGCAGTTTGACACGTGTTTTTACGATCGCGACAGACAGAAATCGTATCTGCCACAATTGCTCGTCCCGTTTATTGAAAAGTCGTTGCTGTGTACATTTCTGTCGAGCGATCTTGCCGATGAGATGAACGCATTTCATCAGCACGTGCTGAAGAATGTCGTGGCGTGCATGCTGGGCAACGATGCGGACAGTGTTATGGTGTATATGCTGTCGCTGTTGCGAATGATCTTGAATGGACACAGCTCGTGCATGTTCTTCTACATCAAATACCCTGGAAGCTACACGGCAGAAAAGTGTCAACGTTTGGTGTATACATCGTACTTGGTGAGCCCAGACGCACTGACAGCGATCCCAACTCGCCATCCGTGTCGATCATTTTACTTCATTGACAATGTCGACTTTTTCGTGCAAGCAGGAGGTTTTCGTCTGATTCTTCAGCGACTAGAGCACATGGACGTAGCATTAACCGAAGTGCTGCTGTATTGTACGATTCTTAACGAAGCGAAACCTTGCCTTACGCAGCAAAAACGTCGCCGCAGTTCACCCACAGTTCGTCGTCGTTCGACAGAGACTCAGACGGAAGTTTTTTTTCGAGAGTTTTTGAATGCTACCTTTTCACGGCTCCGTCGTATGAGTGGAGAGGAACTAAAGCATGACGATGGACTTATTGATCAAATCGTGAGCATGTTGGATTTACTTTGCTGGGACGGGCTTTTGCTTGGGGGTGGCAGCTCTGAATCAAGCGTCGACGAATCAACTGCCGCTGATTTTTCCGCTTTGTCGTGTGATGTGTCATTTGCTGAGGCGATTGAGATCTTCCATTTGGATTTATCAAAGAAGTTTATTTGCTGTCCGTATTTGTCACAACGTCTGCTGGGAATCACACGCATAAAAGATTTGATTTCAATGGCTCAGCGAAAAGACGTTTTTGATAGGAAGGCAAGTTTGAGCTTAAGGCGTGCTTCGTCATTCATCAGTACAACGGCGTCATTAAGCGCAAGTACTTTGAGTACTGCCGCATCCTTTCATGCTTCGACTCCTGGGGAGCAGCCCGTTACCCAATGGCTGCGTACCAAATATCTTGTAGAGTGGTTAACGGCATCAGACATTCTCGAGGTGATGTTAGGTGACCGAGAGGCATGCATTAAATACTCGCTTCAGGAGGGTACGCATTTGGAAATTCTGAAGCGTTCTAAAAAGATATTTGGATTTGTAGCTGCTCACGGCCTCTTAGCAGAGCAGCATATTGTGTCGATGTGGAAAACGGCGATGAGTCAATTGCGCTCTGGCAGAAAGGCAGTATTTGATATTTTGATTTCGATATGCAGTGTGCTTTCGGCTGATCTAATTGATGTCGTCGTGATGCTGTTAACACAAGTTCCTGCAAGCGACTATGACGAACTCATCGTACACTTTATAGAGCGTGTCGTCATGATTGCATCCAAGCTCGTAGTTGATGCTGAGACGGGTGGGTTTAAGATGTCGCTCACGTCCCTTGTCAGTGCAGCGTCTGGATCACGAAGCAAACTTAGCGCTAGTGTTGAGAAAGATATTGAAGTCCTAAACAAGGTGGTGAGCTTGTGTTGCACGTTGTACTGGAATGCTATCATTCAAACGGAGGCATCAAACGATAGTGGGGTGAACAGCAATTTTGGACTACGTGTTTCAATGCGAAGCGAAGTGGAGACAGCTCTAGCTGACTCATTAAACTACGTCCAAAAGCTGTGGGATTCCGCCGGGGCATCATCGACTGCGTCGGGGAAAAAGCAGCAGCAGCTTTTTAGCGAGTATCTTCGCCAGTGTGCCGAGAACATCAAATCTGGCACAGTGGTGGAGACATCAATGAGTTTGATTCAACGGATTGTGGATGGGTATGGGGGTAGTTCAGCTTCGCTAGGCGCTTCGACATTGTCGTTGGCAAGAACGAGCTCTCCTTCTACAACATCCAGTGAGCTTTTGAAAGAAATGAACAATGTGCACAACATTGTACCAGTTGTCGTCGAGGCAATCATAAACTATGTAGCTCAGTCAAACTCCATAAATCAAACGCCCACAGCTCATGTTGCTGTCATGAAGAAGCGGTTGGCATTTCTTGGGTACATTGTGACTAAGTCCGACCTAAAGCTGCCGTTTGATGCTGTATGCCAGCTATGGGGCTGTTTTAACGGCCCCAAGAGCACGATAGAGGAGCGCGATGTATTTTTTGCGTGGCTGATGACGGTTATCCCTGATCCTAACAATTTTGTCCATCGAGCGTATTCAGGGCAAACGGGTTTTTCTGAAACCGTGGTTAATGAAATTTTTCGATCGCTGACTGGGTCTCAATCCAGTAGCGCTCACAATGAAAATACGACCCAGATTTGTTTGGATATGCAAAGCATGAGCAAGGAAGCGTTTTGGGTGCTGGAGCGGCTGTTTCGATTCGTCAATACTAGCGCTAGGCGGATTACGTCTACTAGTGTTGTTGGGAGCGCTCATACGCGAAGTTTTTCGGACAAAACGAGAGAAGTTGACGGTTTTGTCGTAGAATCATTGGACTTACAAGGTCTTGAAACATTGTATGATGTGGCATTGCGTGCAGAAAATGATGATGTGAGTCAGCAAGCGACCAATTACCTGATCTACCTGCAGCTCCATGTTGGTTCAAAACTCGTTCGTCGCGAGGTGTGGGCAGATTTTGTTGAAATGTGTCTTCAGAGGCTAAAGGAAGCAGTCAAAGGCCCAATCCATGCGTCGAAGACGCGAGAGGTACTGCGACTGTTGGTCCTGTTAAGCACTTTTCTTCATCAATCAGTTGTACAGTCTCAAGAGAGCGAAGGGGTTTTTGATGGACCCGAAGGACTAGCAGTGTACGTTCGAACACAAGGTGGACGAGTTGCAGCACCATTCCGGTACCACTTAAGGCGTACTTCGCTCGTATCAGAGCTGCGTGATCGAATTGCCAAGGACACTGGCCATCCCGCTGATCGAGTTCGTATCGTAAACTCTGCAAAGACTAAGCTGACAGCGCAAGGGCATGGAAAATTTACGCTTGAGAAAGCGCGTGTCTTTAGTCCATCCGCTGCATCATCCCGATCATTTTCAGGGCGGTCTTTAACACAAACAGCACCAGCTCCCTCCCGCAGGAATGGCAAGCATAGTAGCTATGTTGACGCAATATTATTGTCGAAAGTGGAAAGTGACACGAGTGGTCACACCAATCGCAGCGTCGTTGACTTCCACGGATCAGTTGGGGTTGCCGCCGCGGCTGCTGCTGGTGTAGGCGGCGCTGGGAACAATAGCAGTCCAGAGAGCGACTGGTATGCGATTAAAACGGAGATATCAGGGAACGATACTTGGATATCGCTTTTGTTTGACCAGCTGTCGTACGATGACGGAACTGCTGAAGAAGCCTGGAAGGTGCTGAAGCTGCTTACGACAAATGAGGAGATGGAAAAGCAAATGCGCACGTTGAACGGCGTTTTGGCAATTGACGGCTCTATTCGTAGAAAAACAAGCTCATTCAAATGGGATACGCTGTTGGATTTAAGATGCCCTCCAAAGCTATTGTATCTACTTGAATTGGTGGAGAAATTTGCGCTATGCGGCGATGGACGTCATGACGACGATGACGAAGAAAATGATGAAAGTGACAACCGAGTGCATGAAGCTGATAGATCGATCGGGACAGTCAATGCATGGAGTGCATCTTTCTTAGAGCTTGGTGGTCGGGCTCACCTCGAAGAGTTTATTCTGTTGTTGAATCCACGTCAGCTGCTTACACAAGGGGCACTTTGTTTTATGTGTCTGTCGAAACTTTTGAAGTTGCTGCGCCATTTTGTGCTGGTAGAATTTAATTTGGCGGGTGAGGATGGAGAATCATTCGAGAACAATCCACAACAGTTGATTCATCAGCTTCTGGAAACGCTGAGCAGTCTTCAAACCATCGATGAAGCATCCAGGGAGGCTAACTGCTCAACCGTAGTAGCTCGAAAAAGCGTATTGTCGAAAGCGCAGCTTGTAGCAACTGAAGAAGATCAGCTTAACGCGACACCACAGCCTCTTTCGCTAGCTATGTATTCTCGCCCACAGGTTGAAGACCGAGACAACGTCGACGATATTCCGAGCGATGCCTATTTGATGACCCGTTTGATTTCTTGTATTGCCACTTGGACGCTGGTTGCTACGCAAAGTGCATTAGTATTGCTGGAGAGCTATCCCGATTACGGAAAAATTATGCTACGCTGTTTAGTGGAAAGCCGCTATAAGCCTGTTCGGTTGGAGGCTGCCAACGCGATTGCTGCCCTGTCGACTACAAGAAACAAACTCCAAGAAGACCGTGTGGCGTGCTGCAACTATTTTTTGCGTCTGTTGGGTGAGTACTCTGGACCAGTGAATGATGAAGAGTACTACAATGTATTTAGAGTACTAGTAACGAGCGCAGAAGATTTGACCCAGTTTGGAATACTCATGCCTTGCCAAATTTTGTGCCGCCGAATCAAGGCCTTCAAGATTGAAAGTGATGTACAAGTTGGCTCTGCGTCCCTATCAGCTCGGAGAAGTAGCATGGAAGGAAGCAAGCACTGGGCATCAACATCGGGATCTGAACTGGGCAATCGCGTCCACCCTCCGTCCCCTGATTTGCTTTTGAAAGGACAGTTATCTACGCTGCTTGCAATTATTAAACGGATTCCGGTTGTATTAGCGAGCGGTCTTGTTGAGACTCCATATGATGGTCGCACCTTGCGCGAGGTTGTCGTACAAACCCTTCATGAAGAGGAAGGTATCATAAACGAGCTTTATCACGAATGTCTGTTTGCAACACCAGACAAGTCAGCGGACGGTGAGGCTCAAAGCGGCGGAAGTGACAGGTGTGCCATAAGTGTCCCGGCGCCGCCGTCATCACAGCATTATCTCCGGCAACCCAAATGTCGTAGCGACACATGCCGAGGGGTTGCATTTGACCTCCTTACGGAGCTCTGTATCGACAACACCGGTGGCCTGCGTTTTTTGTTGACACAGATAGCAGATCAGCACACTCTGGAGCGCCCTCCAGATCATACCGCCACAACCTCGGTAAGCTTAACGTCAAAAAGGAAGAGCTCAAAGTCGTCGAAAGCCCAGCTACTTCAGAGGGGGAAATATGTGGGTTTGAAAAACCTTGGGTGTACTTGCTACTTGAACTCGATAGTTCAAAGCTTTTTTATGATGCCGCGTTTCCGTCGCCACGTGTTACGGCTTCAATTGAGTAGCAGTGGCAGCGATAAACTCGAAGCAGCGAGCCTAACATATGAGCTTCAGTCGTTGTTTGCTCATCTTGAGGGTAGTGCCAAGCCTTACTACAATCCGCGTCTATTTACCCGCGCAATGAAAACTTGGGACGGTGAAACCGTGGATGTAAATGTCCAGCAAGATGCTTGCGAGTTTCTTACTTCTTTCTTTCAGCAAATCGAGTCGGAAATGAATGGCATCAGTGCCGGTAGTGGTGATTATTATAGAAGTGACGAGAATATTTTGAACACATTCTTTGGGGGCGAGTTTAGCAACGAGCTTGTTGCTGAGGGTGGTCGTTATAGCGAGCGGTTTGAGCCTTTCCACTTCATTTCCGTACCCGTTCGTGATCGGAAAAACCTGAAGGAGTCATTGGATGGATGGGTAGAAGGCGAAAGGGTTAGCTACAGTTGGGAAACAGGCAGCAACTCGAAAAACAAAGATGGCACTGGAAATGATGGTGAAGATGATGAAAAGGTGACACTGGAAACGCATAAGCTTATCTCCATTTCTAAGCTGCCCTCCTACCTCATTATTCATCTGAAACGTTTCGAGTTCGACTTCGAAAAGATGCAGCAAATCAAACTTCATGACCGCTTCGAATTCCCTACTGAGCTGGATATGTATCCTTACACTAAAGAAGGCCAGCAAGAAAAGCGCAAAAGATCGGCATCATCTGCAGACGATGTAGCCACTAGTCACGATGTTCGGCTGAGTACATCGTCAGAAAGCATCGACGATGGAAGGACGACAGCTCCTGAATGCTCTCAATATGAGCTTGTGGGAACTGTTGTGCACCTTGGTACGGCCCATTCAGGACACTACTACTCATTTTTGCGAGACCAGCAAATGCCACGCGACAAGAATGAATGGTACGAATTTAACGATACACTGGTGACTCCGTTTGATCCAGCCCACATTCCAGAGGAGTGTTTTGGTGGCGAGGAATCTACTCGTATCCGGCATGGCTCCACAAGTGGATCGCCGCCACCGGAGGAAGGCTCTCCGCAGCATGCTGAGATGAAGAACCGCAGCAGTTTCATGTTGTTCTATGCCCGGACACCTCCTGAGCTACGTATCGTTAGTGAATTTGATGCACCTTGTGTCAGCTTTTCTAATGCTGTACTCGCGGTAGTATTTTGCGCACGACTGAAAAAGAGAGCATCTGCCAAATTAGTGCATTTGCGTAATTTGGCTAACGTGGTTGCACCGGAGAGAATTCGAAAACTTATTGCTATGGAGAATCTCTTGTTCTGGCGTAAGAGGTATCTGTACGAAACTCGATGTTTGAAGTTTACGTACAATCTTTTGAGATCGTGTCTTGTTGGGCTAGAAAATGCCAAGAGTATGGCGGTTTTGCCGCACTTCGAGCCGGTGGAGGTACAATTTGAGGCTCTGCAAGTGGCTACAAAGTTTGTGTTTGGTACATTGTGGCAAGGTGGTGATGTCAGCAAGGTTTTGGAATGGCGTCTCATTCTTCAAGCACTTTATCACTCCGATATTGGTGGATGTCGATGGTTCCTATCGACAATGGAGGCGAACGAGTCGCTACTACTAGAGCTGCTCGTTTTTAACGAGCACCGGGAGATCCGTGAATTAATGGCTAGCGTTCTTTCGGAAGCCATTGTGACCACGTCAAATACCGAGTTTGAAGAGGAGGCAGACAAAGGACCCCACGCTCTTTCTGGAATTGCGAAAAAACAGTTGCCCGCGTCATTCGAGTTTATGTTCTTCCTAATCCAGTTGATGCCAGCGCTACTCTCAGTTCCTGTGCACCATCATCGTCAATTTTTCCTCACAATGTATGATTTTGTCCAGACTGGGCGCAATGAAGGGTCTTTCCTCGTAGTGAACGGCGTTGTTGGTGCAATTGTTGCACTGCTTACGGGCCTCGGCTCCACGCAACCACTGCTTCAATTGCACCTGAAGAAGCATAAGTCAAAACAGATTCTGAAGCGCATCGACCTTAGCGTCACAATCTTGAAGCTATTGTCTGTGCTTGTTCGCTGCAGTTTGCCTCCGGCGATGGATGTCGATGCGGATGCGGACCACCCACTGACTCTCCCATCTAATATGGCTCATGATCATGTGGATCTCACACCAGCAGACCATGACGTTCTTCTGAATGAGCGCTTTATCACTCTGCTTACGCAGCGTGCAAATCACTACACCAAGGAGACGAAACCACTGGAGCAGATTGTGAGTCATTTGTGTTGGGAAAGTCGACGTGTCACTGCAGCATTTGTGGAAACGGTTATGCACGGTATTGAAGTCGAGGACCACCACGATGTAAAACCATACTTTCGTACGCTGCACACGCTTTTTAAGATCCGCGATTCACTTGCTGTAGAGCGTCTGACGGATGGTCTTACCAAGCTAGTTGCCGTGATGGCATCACAGCAACGGTACTATAAGGCTACAGAAACCTCACTTGACATGCTTGCAAGACTCGCGAAACGCCACAGCGGTGTGACACAGTGGCTGCGGGATAATCGGCAGAGCTGTGTTTGGATGGAAAAATGGCTGCTGGCCCATCGCGGCGTTGAAGGATATTTGCAACAGCGTAAGACTGTTTTGGTGAAGCCCAACAGCACATCATCGTGGGTGAACGTGAGTGGAACGAGTTCTGGACTCATTAGTGCCGTTGACCGTTCCATCACAAAGTTGCTGCCGCGTATCCGCAGCATTTTAGACCCAAAAGCTGTCGTGGAGACTTTCTACGACAGTGACGACAATCCTCAACGACTTGTCGGCAAGCGAGTTCGTGTGAAATGGGCAAAAGACAAGTGGTACGAAGGAGTTGTGAAGCAATTTAATGAGGACACGTACGAACACTTTGTGGTGTACGATGACGGCGACAAACGCTCGTATCACATGTCGGAGAAGATATTTTACGTCGTGGATTTGATGCCGTCGCCAAAGCCTCGCAAGAAAAAACATTAGCATCAGTAAGTTTGAGAGACTGCATTCTGGCCGTTGTAGGTAGCCCCAAAGATGCAAGGCAGCCTGAAATTAGCCGATCCTTTTTGTGGTGGCATTGTGTTTGTGTCGATGAATGAAGAGCTGTGCCGATTAATGATATGCGTAGAGCAAATGTAGCAATGGCTTGAATCTTACGTCCAATAATAGAATGGAAGAGCTCGATAGAAGCGCGCAAGAAGTGTTGGTTACGCCAATTTTGTCGCTCAAAGTTTGCGGTCTACACCAGACCGAAATACAACTCGTCATTGTACGAGTAAGATAAAGAGATACCAAACTGCTTCATGACATCATTTATTGCGTACGACTACAGATCTTTGAAGATGCGAGTCGTAAGATCCTCATGGCTTGCAAGTATAAAATTCCTTACAGTCTGGTTGCTTAAAACGGCTGAAACAACGTCGCACTCAGTTACATCTTCAAACATCATTCTTAAATCTAGCTATGGATGTTATCATTTTACGCGTCGATCAGAATGGACTTTAACTGGGTGCTAGAGCGAGACCTAACATCGTATAAGTTTGACAAATTTGATCATGAGCAAACTTTGCGCATGTCAGTCGCCTTATTACCATTTATTTTACAGGTGATCTAAACAAAATGAATCACTTTTGAAACCTATCAACAGACGACCAGACTCTCTCCTCATCACAATCACGTTAGTTGCATCTAACGAGAGGTGGTCTCGAAGCTAAATAACGCGATACACGAATCAGCGGTTAATCAGAGAAGGGAGTCCTGGGCTTTCCTTTGGAATTATTTAGCAACACCACTCAAATAAACTGGCCAAAAACTCCATACGTGCTAGGGCTGTTGTAAATGATCGATTGAAGAAAGCGATCATAGATCGAGCCGATCAACACAACGCGGATCAAGAGCCACACGGTATTGATCGCGGATTGCCAGTTTGGCTATATTTGGATCGTGTAAAGGAAGTGTATGCAAAGAACACTGTGTGGCATTGACCGCTTCGAGTTGCCGAGTTGTGTGGAGATTACGCAGTACGTTTGGAGATTGTGGATATGCCGTATCGGTTGTTTTCCGTGGTTCACGTTTTGAAGCTGGAACGGGTGAAGATGTTTCCAGATCGACCTAAGAATATGTTGACGATTGCAGAAGAGGATTGCGTGGATTTTGACGAGGCATTGTTGCCTGATGACAGTTGGGAAGGTGAACTGGAATGTGGCGAGTTTGAAGTGGAAAAGATCGTCGATGTGCGATCTAACCGCAAGACCTGTTACGGTAGAGTCCAGCGAGAATATCTGGTACACTGGAAGAGCTATGACGATCCGACATGGGTGGGTGTAGCTGATCTAAATTGTGATGTTTTGTTGCAAGATTTTGACCGTGATCGTACGAGAGTGAACCGTTTGAAGTAATGCAATCGCAAAGCAGAAATTGGTGAACAAAATGGACGATCGGATGGATAGGAGTAGCAAAGATATACAGGAAGGCTGTATATTAAATGTTAGATGGGGTTGTGTGTGTATTGAGTTTGACAACCGCGAGGCGATTAGACCGGATCGTGATCGAAACGTTGGCGATCACGGGTGACTGGTCGGATGTTCTGCGATTGAAGACTGATATTGGTTCTTTCACGAATCCAACTATCTGCCAGATGCAGCGCAGTGATCAAGCTGGAAATGTTGATCTTTTAACATCCCAATCCGGATCCAGATCGACTGGATTTTGCGATCGGGCCAACCCAGATGTGATCGCGATCGCTGCAGACGCTTAACCTAAAACGGAAGACAAGTACAAAGTAGGAACGGCAGTGTTTGCAGAGTTAATGAAGCTTGGAAGACTTATGTGCATAGGTACTTTGACACCGGATGTCGAGTATCAGTGCAGGGAGGGTCCAGGGTCGAGGGTATACCTTGAAGGGCCGAGGTCTACCTGAGGGGCCAAGGTCTACCTGAAGGGCCGAGGTCGGCTGACGAAGGACCAGGGTTGAGGGTTCACCTTGAAGGATCGAGGTCTGCCTTAAGAGACTGAGGTTGGCTGACGAAGGACCAGGGTCGACCTTGAACGACCTGTGGTGGAGTGGGTTCTCAGAACTTCGTAATGAGACCCCAAGCCAATCACTGTGCCGGACTGCCGACTGTCGGAGGGGATACCCCGATGCCGCGTATGGGCCTTCTCTCACCTTTCGTACCCGTCGGCTGGCGGGTTGCACTCTTCATAGGACTTGGTGGAGATCAGATGTCGGCCTTGAAAGAGGTCGACCTTGGGGTGCCTCGAGTGGATATGCTTCACTCGGTAGGCTAGTAGGTGGCCACTACGATAGCTGAAGGGTACGAAGAATGCGTTTTTCGCCGTTTTGGTGCTAGTGAGGCAATCCGCCACGATCGAGAGCCAGGGTTTATGTCGGATTCTTTCGGGCTTTTAGTCGCATGGCGGGCCAACTTCAACAGGCGACCAGCCTATTGCCTCAGCGAACGGCCGCGGTGAGGATGGTACAAACCCTGACTAGGTCCATCAAGATGTATGTCTCTGATGTCATAAAGCAGGACTGGGATGAATATACAGAACGCTTAACGTTTGCGATGAAAACCGCGCAAGACCGAGTCCGGAAGGAGCCACTATTCTATCTGGTCCATGCTTGGGATGCTAGTGCCACCCTCGAAGCTACATTACCGGTAGTAAATACGCGACGTCGGGAGTCTGGACCGCGCAGATGGAGATATCACATTCAGCAACACTATCAGCGAGCAAGATTCTAGGTGAATGAGAATCTACGAGCGGCCATTCAAGCTCAAGTACTAGCCCATAACGAAGAGGTGGTCGACCACAAGATCCAGTCAGGACCCAAATGTGGCTCTACCTGGATCGCGTGAAAGAAGGGTACGCCAAGAAGTTGGTCCACCTCTGGCATGGACCTTTTCGAGTTCTAGAATTGGTGGGAGAGTACGCGGCACGTTTGGAAACCCGAGGCACGGAGTACAGGTTATTTCCAGTTGTACATCTTCCCAAGATCGAGATGGTTAGAGATTTCCCAACCGAGCGCAATGTTGAAACGACGAAACATCGGGTCAACTTTGATGAATACCTGTTGCCAGAGGACAGTTGTGAAGAGAGCTTAAGGAAGGTCAAGGAGGTCTTGGAAGCCCCACTGAAAAGAAGACGCAATATAAGAGACAGCAACAGGAGCTCCTTGCTCGTTGGAAAGGGTATGCAGATCCCTCTGGATGGATGGGGTAGATTTGAATTGTGGAGCCTTACTCCGGGACTTTGAGCGCAAGGAGACAAGGAGAAATCGCTTCGAAGTGATGCAGTGTCATGGTAGACCTTAGTCTTTGGTCCTGTCTATTGTTGTAGACTTGGTCTTTTGAGGTAGGCCCTGGACTTTGAGGTAGACCCTGGTCTTTTGAGGTAGTCTATTTTTAGACCTTGGTCTTTTGAGGTAGGCCCTGGACTTTTGAGGTAGACCCTGGTCTTTTGAGGTAGACCCTGGTCTTTCGAGGTAGACCCTGGTCTATCGTTGGTAGACCTTGGTCTTTTGAGGTTGGCCCTGGTAGATTTTGGTCGTTTGAGGTTCACCCTTGTTTTTTTAAAGATGATGAAAAAAAGGAATTGACATAAAGTTTGAAGGTAAAACAAAGTACAGATATATGACGAAAACCGAGAAAAAAACGATCGCAAGTATATTTTAAGTAGAGAGCCTAAGGAGTGGAGACGAACTTGTTCCGGATGCGCGGTACCGAGTACCGAGTGTGAGACTCCGTCGAAAACTGATACTGGGAGAGCCAGGGGCAAGTGAAGTCGGAGATCTGCAGAGCTTCCCCTCCTCACAACCTGAAACCAGTACACCACGCAGTGAGTTCGAAAGAGTTATCGGAAGAAACAGTCAGGCAGGATGTCGAGGTCGCATCAAACTTCACTCGTTCCTTTGAAGATTAAGTCGACAACCCCTCGCCATGCTCGAATTGCCTGACCACGACGCTTCGTTCGCACATTGTAGTACAACGCGAGGAAGGCGCTAGCGCACTTGGTCTCCAGAAATCCATAGGCAGTGGGTTGCCTCCCAAATCGCCTGGCTTTTGTCCTCGTCGAAGCGCAGATAGGCCGCCTCCAGTTGCGCAAACCAGCCCACTGGCTGGAAAGACACAGGCGCAGTCGGGACTCGTGCCGGCAGCCATGGTCTGGTAACCAGCAGGCTCTTGATCATAGAAGAGTTGACCAGTGATGATTTCCACTTGGAAGGGGTTGATCGACCTTCCCGTCTGGTGGACCGAACAATGCCCAAGGCAGTCTAGGTGGTCGACCGAGTCACTAGGAGTCATCGTCGATCCCAAGAGTTAACTAAGCTGCGTGCTCGGTCCTCATCTTGGTCTTTTCCATGAAACTCCTTGATGTACGAGATGGCTGAGAGCTTAAAACGGGGGACCAGGTTAGACACTGTCCGAGGTCGCTGAAGCTTGAAACGGGAGACCATGTTGGGCAACTGTCCCAGGGTGGCATTGGCTGGTCGCCCTTGGGTGACCGCGGTCCATTAGGATACACCACGGTTAACTTCTTTGAATGGCGGCCAATTAGCGAACTTTGACCGCAAATTATTCCCATCCAACGATCTTTTCCCTCCTTTTACTGACGCCCTTTTCTCCTTGGTCCATCTCCCAACGGCCGCTTCTCTTTGTTAGGCCCCTTTCTCTTTGATCTACTACTCCTTAGGCTCGCACAATTTACAGCGCTTCACCACAGCCGCCCTCTGCACTTGGTCAACGATACAGCCGCTTGAGTACGCGCATGTCTTTGACTCCTCCAACCCGTAAGTTCCTCCCACTGGTTTAGACCCACTGACTGATGGACCGGTACTGTTCAAATCTGCACTCGCTACTGACCCAGAGGTCCATGTCCCCACTTCGTCGCTGTTCGGCAATTCCCTCAAGGTACCAGGACCAGGGTAATCCAAGACGGTTTCTTCTGAGGCTGTAGGTGACGAGAGTCCACCGGTCGTTTGTGACCCTTTGCCTACCTCCAGCCCCCTGACGCTGTGGACTCACGGAGTCCACAGGTCGCTTGCGCCCGCCTGTCACCTTGTTGAGCGATCCTCCGACCGCGTTGGATGGACCCGTAGACGTACACCAAGTTCTGCGCAACCTACAGGTCAGCATAAATGCACATGACCTTCGACTCAGGCGTGCGAGGGTCGACTAGCTCTAGTCTTCTCCGCCGCCTACTGGACCGCCAGATGCGAGCGCCTCGAGAGAGAGCTGCTTGACACCAACAATTTCGTGGTCCGGCTGCGTGAGGGTCTCCATCATGAGAGGACGCTGGTGGAGCACTTGCAACAGCAGATCGATTACCGCCAGAGGCGGTACTTTCACCTGATGGCGGAGATGGAGCACCTCGAATCCGCTTAAGGATCCCGAGGTCCCCCCCAGTGGCTGCTCCCACGTTGCCTCCTGCACCGTCGTCAGGTAAACGACCTCGGCGACCGTAAGCTTAAGTGACCGCCAAGTCTGTCAAGTCGAGTGCGACCAGCACTTCAGCTTCGTCGACTCTCGATTCTGGGACCTCCCGTAGTCTACTTTCTGCTCCTTCGCCTGACCCGAACGACGACACGACCAGCGACGATATCGAGATGGCCCGGGCGTCCCTAGCTCGAACGCAGTCTTCCAGTCGACGTTTCACGTCCACAAGTCACTCAATCCCAGCTGCCTCGACCGCTTATGTCCCAAGGCCCGTTGCTCCCCCGAGTCCATCGTTGTTCCCGGCCATGTTCGGGTCTTCCGACTCAGAGACCGAGTCAGTTTCGGACAAGAAGGCCCATGTAACGGTCGCGAAGGCAGGCGAAAGGAGACTCCGCCCCCGGTGGATCACCTACGCTTCAGAAGGGTAAAGTCATCCTTGTTTATATGCAGGTAAAAAAATCTTTCACTGCCGCGGAAGTGGCGCCTTGGTGGGTCGACCGGGGGTGACCACTGTGAAGACCGCATGCACGAGGGAAGCATCAATCCTGTTCCTCCAGTCGCAGCTTCATCACTTCGGTTCACATAATCTAGAGCTTTACGTCGCTCTTCGCGCTTGACATGCTGCGCGAATGTTGCACTTCCGTGTACTCCTCGAGCGCATCACGATCCTTGCACATATGTGCCGATGCTCCGCTGTCCATGACCCAGCTGTCACGTATTGATACTTCACTGGTAGCGAACGCAACATTCGACTGGTCATGAGCTCTATCCCTTGGTCCACGGCTATGCGTATTGGCCAACCTTACCAACAATTAAAGCACGCTCCCGTCTGTTTTTTTCAATCGCCGACATGCTTCTTAGGGGCCCTTCTTGTCCGTGTAGAGAGCAGTCGCATCCTTCATCCGCTACCTCAGAGTCCCCATGGCCCACGTCTTCAGCACTCAGCTTGCTGACAAGATCACTGATCTTGAAACTTGTAGCTGCCATGTAAATTGTCTAAACCAAGCTCTCCTAGCTTGGCGGCAGGCTGCGCAGCATCACCGCGCAAATGTCTTCTTCATTTCGCCCGCAATTTGCGCTCTGCATCTTCATGACGAGTTCTCTAAGCACCATGACGTATACGCTGATGCTCGACGCAGAGTACTTTAATGAAGAAAACTTCTCCTTGTCCAGAGCCGACTTGCCATGTCATGGGCGTGGTGGAACATCGCCAGCTTCCCCCACGCAGCCTTGCGGTCTTCGAGCCGATTAAGTGCATCAGCTGCGAGTCCGCCAGGTTTAGCACGATTGTCGCGTGCGCTTGATGCTTGGGCTCATAACCTTTTAATAAACTTAGCTATTGATGAGGGTTTTACTTGATGATGACGGCTTTGTGTAGGAATTGTAAACCAAAACGTGATATATATTTGATGGGGTGTTATCTCAGAAAACAATGGCTCCTAGCAACTCAATGTTCGTACCCTATGCGACCTGTCTTAATCTATGTAATTGCTTCTTATGAAATCCTATCGATAACCTACGTAAGTATGCAAAACACACACAAGTATACAGTGCATACTAAAATACACGTACCTGCAACATCACTCTCCAACAAAAACATCCAAGGTTGCTTGATACAATGCACTACTCCAGCAAATGGGATGAACTGAAGAAGCTTTCGTGACTGCTGTGAATGATAACATCGAGACGACTATCTGGTACACGAGCAACTTACCGTGAAATTGAGAGCCGAAGAAGGCCGCAGAAAGTGTTCCTGTCTCATAAAAGCAAAAGAAGCTGCCGATGTCACGAAGCTAGCGAGCTGCTCGCTAAGGTTGTGGAACAACATATAGCGATCTTGTTGAATAGGCGAGCTCGTATGTTAGCAGTAACCATCAAGATACATTAGGTCATGTGAATGCACCTAGGATCCGTTACAAGTTGTTGTACCTTTTATTCGTGTTCCATGGTCCATTGAACTTTGAACGAGATCAACTTCAGCTCCGTCAATGGTATCTCGACCATAACTAACGAAATTGGTACCTCATCCTGGAGCCAGTCGGAAGTCAGCAAAGTACAGCTGGATAGAAGAATGTGCTGCTGCAATTGAAGTTGGCTCATTGCGCATTCATGCACCGGAATTGCATCAGCAGGCAGAGTGCAGAGTGCACATGGAATGAGCACGGCAACTTCATGTCTACAAACCGTGACCCAACACAGCTCCTCGGGTTCGAACTGGTATCCACCCGAGAAGATGCGCAGACTCACGGTTTGTAGATTTTACGTGGAAGAGCAGCTGCTGCTCTACCCTCTGCAGATCAGGCAGACATGCAAACTGAAGTAAGGACGCTGGGATAAATCGGTTTTACAACCACTTAAACTGTGATCACAACGACGTCGATTCAGCGATCACGCTCGTGCAGGCGTCTCTAGGCACTACATCATTGCTAGAATAGCAACCGACACACTGACCAGGTGCTCTTGACGATTTTGGAGCAGTAATGTTGCAATAATCACCGCTTCATGGTCGCTTTTGGATAAGACTTGCATAGTTAAGTTTAGTGAACCGAACGTATATGCGGCGACTCACAATAATAAGGCCGAGTGTCAAGAATTATGATCCGAGCAGCGGAGCCCAACCTTAGAAAATTCGCGATAGCTGGGGCATATCCGTGGTGTGCCGTCCTGCACTGATTTCCCTGTCTCTAAGAATTTTCTTCTGCTTCTCCACGCTACTTTTTCCATACTGTCGTCTCTGTTTTTGTAGCTACTGGATATATGCGCCCTCGCACCTATATTGAACACTCCTTCGAGTCGTCGTCCCCCTCTCACTCAGTCGCTGTCGCCGCATGTCGTCTCAACAGGCGCGGCCACCTTGATTCTCTCCCCTGACGAATGATAGGCAATTCCAACCGACTGATGGTCTTACTTTTCGAAAGATGCAAGTGACTGTTGTAACACACGCAGCAATATCTTGAAAGGCCCTCAATGTTCAAGCGTTCACAGGATGGCGCCGATTGTCGGTACTATCATGATAGACTCCGACTCACTTTACAATACGACCATTGTGTGAATACATTATGAAAGCTAAGTCAATTACAAACAGGCTGCTGCGAATTACAGGCTGATCGATGGATTCCTTATGTAATTTATCTATTTAATGCTACAATTACTTTTGCTAGATCAGCTTACTGTGCTTTAGTGATCTTACAAACAGTGATCCTGTTTGTATTATTGTTTGTGCATTTTGTTATATTATTAATTAGTATGAATTTGCAACTGCTCGCGTGGCCCAATGGATACGGCGCTGCCCTCCTAAGGCAGAGATTGCGGGTTCAAGTCCCGCCGTGAGTACATTTTCTTCCCTGAGTATCATTTGCTAAAAAGGCTGTCTTTTTTGAAAGAAAAACTCAAGTACATTACAACTAAACGACAGCATAGAACCGGTTCATTTGCAAGATAATTCGGAATATGCGTGCTACATACACTGTTCCCGTTAATCTGCGAAAACGTGGCAAATGGGTGAAGCACAAGTATCGTTTTTTGTTATTGATCGATTCGTGCACCTGTCAAATTATTACGTAGCTTTAGTGGACGGCAAAGAATCTTTATTCATATCTTGCTTAACACTTTATGATACCGTAGAAAGATTTTGAGAATGATAAGCACTGTCATAGGAGAACTTGACGGATAACCTCTTATTCTACCATGAATAAGACGCTTGCCCTGAGTTGTTTTGATCTTCCAAAAATACGGACATGAAAGCACGCTGCTATCATGCATGCGTTTCTCAGGATTAGGCGGCTTTAGATCGCGCCTTCCCATCTCTACGGTCATTCTCTGATTTGCTTGAACATTACCTGGTATGACCTGACGCAAGTGCCTGTGATGTAATTTATTTCGCCAACATATTGGGCTTTGCCAATATTTTGCTATAGAGCCTAACTGATTACCTTCTTTAAATCTGATACTTTACGCGAGCCATTTGGAAAAAAAGACACCTGCGATCAATCAGAAAGCTTCATATATATAAGTGTCGTAAAGCAAAAGTATACTCATAAGTGATCGTTCTCTTCATTCAATCCGCATATTATGATGATTCATCAAATAGTAAAGCAGCAAAATGAGATTCTGAAGAAAAGAGTGAGTGGTGCAATAATGTAAGTGATTGAGGTTAAGTGAAAGCTATCATTTTTTGACTGAGCGATCCGGCAAAGTCGGCCAGTTGCTGTAAATCCAATTGTAGGAGCGAGTTTTAGCATGTACATCACATACAATCGTATGGTAAAGTCAAACTTGGCACAAGCTTTATGATTCAAAAACCGTATGTAAAGTCAAACTTGGCACAAGCTTTATGATTCAAAAACTCGCGCTTGAAAAGAGCGACATCACACTGAAACCTTTTACAAGCATTTGGAATGACCTAAATTGATATAACACGCATCTTCTCTTAAAAACCACTAGCTTGGACTTCAGTAGCTCAGACCGAAGCTTAATCCCGTTCATGCTAGTGAACTTCAAAGTGGATATGAGCTTGATTTTGAAAGACTTCGTCATGGAAACAAAGCAATGGCTTTGTGTCTTTTTGTTTGGCGTGATCCAAAATTAATAAACTCTGTTGTTTGATGAGCTGTAGGCATGCAAACCCAATTGCGGAGGCCGATATGTTTGTCAACTAGAATTGGATGTACAAATTGTAAAGTGCCTTGGCTTTGCTTTGATCTTTCGTCCACGTTCGATTGCTTTCACTATTATTTTGCTCACTCGCCTTTTTCTACTTGCTACACAATCACTCTTTTTCCCCCAGCCACTCAACTTGTCACCTCTGAAACGTCATTGTGCAGTCTTTACACACAATAGACAAATTTCGTTTTGAAGCATGTCGTCTATTTGTTGCTGCTCTGTTTTCTTATCTTTCCAATTGTTATTGTTCCTGTCTCGCTATGACATACGTTGCTGATGCAACCGCGCTTAGCATGAAAGTGCTCATCAGACTTTACAGCGCATGTCCAATAAGCGATATGTTCTGCAAATCCCACCTCTTTGCGCTACGGAAAAGGGAAGCAAACGCTATGTCGTGGTCACAGTTTCCGTTTGAGGCGTTTGCTGACAACATGTTGCGCTCATAATATGTCAAGCTGTGTCACATGTAGAACACCTAGCAACATTTTTTGTCAACAAGTGCACTGTATCTATTGGAAAGACCTAAGCAGTCTCTAGCACAAATGTTATACAGAGCAAATTTGAGCTGATTTATTTAATGCTTATCTTCTAGTGCTAAATATTGAAACACCTACGTAATATTAATGAAAACAGCTCCGGTGTGACGGAATGAAGTCCAAACATCACGAGGTCTCTACGACGTACAGACGAGAAGAAACTGTCACGTCACTTTTAAGTTTCACGTGACCATGAGACTGCTTAGGTCTTTCCAATACGATCCACAGTGCACTTGTTGACAAAAAATGTTGCTAGGTGTTCTACATGTGACACAGCTTGACATATTATGAGCGCAACATGTTGTCAGCAAACGCCTCAAACGGAAACTGTGACCACGACATAGCGTTTGCTTCCCTTTTCCGTAGCGCAAAGAGGTGGGATTTGCAGAACATATCGCTTATTGGACATGCGCTGTAAAGTCTGATGAGCACTTTCATGCTAAGCGCGGTTGCATCAGCAACGTATGTCATAGCGAGACAGGAACAATAACAATTGGAAAGATAAGAAAACAGAGCAGCAACAAATAGACGACATGCTTCAAAACGAAATTTGTCTATTGTGTGTAAAGACTGCACAATGACGTTTCAGAGGTGACAAATTGAGTGGCTGGGGGAAAAAGAGTGATTGTGTAGCAAGTAGAAAAAGGCGAGTGAGCAAAATAATAGTGAAAGCAATCGAACGTGGACGAAAGATCAAAGCAAAGCCAAGGCACTTTACAATTTGTACATCCAATTCTAGTCGACAAACATATCGGCCTCCGCAATTGGGTTTGCATGCCTACAGCTCAT